GAGTGAGGTAAGGTGGGAAGTGAGTTTATGAGGTGAGCTACATGCCTATCTTGTCATGTACATTGTGGGATGCTGATAGCTTTTTGTATCTTTTGAGAGCGAATCTAGATTTATATGTCTGAGTTGCTTTGTTTGCTGTTGCTTTTGATATATCTTTTGTGTAGGAGAGAATGTGTGTATATAACTTTGAGGATGTAGGAAAATATTTGCAGAGAAGATGTGTATATCTCGGTGTAAAATACTTACCAAGACAGCAGGTTGAAGTTGGGTACTACATGAAAATGTGACAGCTGTTCTGAATGGATAAAAACAACCACCCCCAACCGCTCCCCCAACCAACCCGAATAAAACCCCCCAAAAGACCCAGTCCTCTCTGCTTGTCCTAAAGTAACTAAATCAAAGACAACCACCCCAAGATTTCCTCATCAATACTCCACCACCACCATCACCACCATCCCCACCCAGCATCCAGTCAAAATGTCGTGAGTGGGAAGTGGAGGAAGGCTTACATATATGGGGCAGCTGTTGTGACCTCACAGGCATATCACATAAGTGGCAGTCTTATTTTTAAATCTGGGTGGTAAGTCTCACTATGAGTATCTCTGTCATGCACCTAAAGACAGACAGCCGTAACTATACAAGTGGAAAAGGGAGGTCCGACAGCAAAAAAGAGAAGAATGCCAAAGTTAGCATGGTGGGCAAGTTAATACCGGGTCATCGTGAGTAGACAATTATATGCCTGTAAATTCGACAAGATATTTGGATATGAGGTACGTTATGGAAAGATGCCAAGCATTGATAGCCAACGGCAACGGTATGCCTTTCGGCTGAATGGGTTGTAAAGATGGTAGTTAGTCGTCATAAATGAAGGTAACTATGTAAATAATGAAGCTTGAAGAACAGGTGTAATATATTGAATTGTCCACCCAAATCATCACCCCACAACCGCTTCACACTGATTATCTACATTTGCTATCATTGATCGAGGCAAGCTCAAAGGAATAAAAGCTATCCATGTCGGGGGCAGAGGGGTTACCAGCAGAAAGAAAAAGCAGAAAAACGCCCTCCAACGCCATGCCAGTCCCCTTCTTTTTCCTCCTTGTCCCAAAGCCCTCCTCCCATGTTATACCCCCATATCCTTTGTGACTGTTGCATAGCCATGAATAAATCCTCGCGCTTGCTCTGCTTCGTTGCATGCTTTGCAGGGACAGTCTTTGCGACTATTTGTCCCATCGTAGGTCTTATAAAGCCAAAACTCCCTCCCAACCCATCCTCTGCCCCTCATGATGCCAGCCTTGTCCGCCCCTGAGAAGACTGGCCAAGGAAACATCAACCTCCAACTCGTCGCTGGTAGCAATAATTGGAGAGGAAGATGGCGTTGCAATGTGATGTCGGGGGAGGTCGGCTAAACATATGATACAGATCCTCGCGTTTTTGCTTCTCCTTCTCTCGGGTTTATTCATCTTCTGAAACCCCTGCCCCATCGGTTGGTGTTGGCCTTACTAACCAAGCTATCAGAGTACAGGCTCGGTCCAGTAGGAGGTGGCTTGCCGTTGCCACCAGAGGATGATCCATTAGAGTCAACCTGCATGGGCTCTTCAAACCCCCACCTGCCGTCGATAACGTTATCGTCCTCATCGTAACCGCTGTTTCGGTTATTCTGACTGCTGGTGTGAGGGGCGGGAACATTCGGCACTTTGTGGTAAACGCTCAGAACCCTCCCATCGGCTGTTTGTTTGTCGAACATGGCAATAGCGTTGTCGGCACCCTCCTTGCTTTCGAAGATGATTTCGGCGATGACGATCGGGCTCTGTTTGAGAATCCGGCACGATGTAATAATTCCACCAACAGGAGTCATGGCAGACTCGATATCGGCCGCGGTAGTGCCTGGGGCGAAGTTTTGGGCCATGACGACATAGGGCCCAGCAAGACCACGGATGCTGAGGCCTTTGTTGAATGCGTTGTTGTTGGCAGAGGGACCAGTGGGAATCGGCTTCTGCTTTTGCTTGGGACCTGAGGGTGGCTTGGGGCCTGAGGGTGGCTTGGGGCCTGAGGGTGGCTGGACCTGAAATCCCGATCTTTCCAAGCCATTCGCTATCTGCGCGGCGCGACGTTTCGCACGGGGGCCGGTGGGTGCGTGTGATGGGGGCGCATTGGGGTTCGTGATGCGGGTGGCGAGAGAGGAAGTATTGCCGTTCATGGCCTTGGGCCCTTTCGGAGGTTGGGTGTGGAGATCGTGAGTCCATTCACCGTTGATGTTGCCGGTACTATGCCGGGGGCCCTTGGGAGGTTGCTAATATGGTCAGAATAGGAGCCGCAGGTGTAAAATAAACGAAGAGATCGAACCTTCTTCACACCAGCACGGCTGGCGAGAGTCCCGCCAGGTGCGGCGACCTTGGGAGCACTGCCATTCGAACCGGAAGTGCTCGAGCGACGACCTGTACTAAAGATTTTGGCAGCGAGCGCCTCGTTCTTCTTTCTGGCGCGACCTGTGGCCAACAAGAGGGATGGTTAGAACTCGTCATCAAAGCCTTTGACGCAAATACTCTTACCGTCCTGAATGATTTTTTCAAAGTCGCTTGCGACTTTGACAGTATCCTTGGTGGGAGCCATCTCGAAGTTGCTGGGTGATTTCGTATGCCAGCTCCAAGTTGCACCCACTGCATCGCGCTTTGGAGCGCGTTCAACCGGGCGCAGGGCCCGAGCGTGTCGGTGGAGCTGGCCTTCACTTGCGCACGTGCCAAGTTGGTCCGCCTTCTCGTGCACGTGTCAATGTCAACCCCAAGTCTTCACTATACACTCCAATCCCTGAAAGTTCGTTAAAGTGGGGCCGTCTTCTAACAACTTAACAACTTTCCTCCACAACCACCAATTTTTACGCGGAAAAAAGGGTATTGCCAAACTCGAGGGCCTTTATTCATCTATTTTATCAATTTTCCCGCTTCGTTGTAGTTATTATAAGCCAAAAGATATGGTTACTTAAAGTTACTGGTCCGAGCGCCCGAGCTAACAAACCTTCAAGTCGTAGACTGTATGAGGGTAACATGCTTCAGAGCACCAAACTGCAATTCTTGGTTCAAAGACATCTCGGTTGATTAGATTAGTCCATCGAGATACTTGCAGCAAATAGTCTTATACGCCAGCATCGTACATCCGCATGTTCACTAACTATACACAGAGACACCACGAGCCTCTCACAACCCCTTATTTACTCCCACCTCCAATTCTCCTTTACATCCTCCGTGATCTCATCAGTACTCGCATTCTTTACCCAGTCTTCATCCTTCAGATCTGGGCTTGGGTTCTGCCGCCCTGCTCGCCTCTCTGGATATAACCTCTCCAAAAACCCTTCAATCATAATACTGAGACTCCTCCTCTTCCCCATAAGCTGCTTCGCCACCGCCGGTCTCACAAGCCTTTCATGACAAGCCACATCAATGGCCGAGATCATATGCCGGGCAGTAGCCATCGCCTCCTTTACCTCTTCCTTGTTGGCCTCGAGCGCTTCCAGCGGAGACTTTGTCGGCTCCTCCGACCAGGCCAGGGTCCTCGCGTGTGTGTTCAACACTGGGAAAAGCCGGAGGATGGTGTTGCTAATCTGCTCTCCGTACTGATATCTGGTCTCATTATCCTGCTTTCGGAACTTGGTCTTGGCGATACGCGCCAAGTGCAGGTACAGACGCATGGTCAAAAGATCGGGCTTCTTCAGCTCCTTGAGCATGATGTCGATGATTTTCGTTCCGTTGTCAAAGACGTTGGTGTTGTTCCGGTCGTTGACGCACGAGTTCATACCGAGACGGAAAGTCACTCGGTTGAGCATACTCGGAGGATAAGAGGCAATGATTTTGGCCACCTCACCTGATGCATGACCAACTCGCAAGCACTTGAGGTATGTGTTGTAGTTGATGTGATCGGGCTCGATCTCGAGCGTCTCAGTCATATACTCCCAGTACTTTGGCGCAATCGCTGTCTGCTTCAGATCAGAAAGCACCTCCATGACCAATGTCAACGTTTGTCGTCCCGGGTTGGCGTATTGAATCGTGGCAGCCGGTCCTGTCCTGGCAAGACCTGCTCTCAAGGCGGGCGGGGGAGGGGCCTTTCCAACTTCGTCAACCTCTTCTTCCTCCAAACCCTCCTCCTCTTGCTCCCGTGCTGCTTGCTCTGCCGCCCTTTGCTCTCGCGCCTGTGTTGCCCGACGAAGCTTCCTGCTGATGGAATCTGGCACCGGGAGCAACATGGTCTGTTTCAAGAGATCAAAAATGCTCCCCTTCTCCTTCTTGTCACCCGGCAACAAAACTTGGCTCATGGCCAACACCAGCTGCTCATCCATGATGAGCCTGCCGCTTCTCCATCTCGCCACCACGTCCTCCCAGACTACTCTCGCTTTCTGGATGGACTGCTCCACATTTCGTCTGATCTGGGCATCCGAAAACTCGGAAAACTTGTATGTGTGTGATTTGACCTCGAATCTCAGGGCGTTCAACACGATGGTAAACGTGATCGAGTCGGGGCTTCTCAAACCGTTATTGGCGGTTTCAAGAATTTGAAACATGCTGTCGAGATCGTTTGCTCGCCCGCAGACGTCAAGGACCGCATTCATGTGAATGGTTGTCGGCTCGAGTGTCATGCCTCCGACTTGGTGTTTGCTGAGCATGGAGCGGTAGATCTTTGTGGCTTCGGCCACTGCTGTCTTGGGATGCGCCGAGGCAGCACAGCCTCTGAAAAGAACAGTGTATGTTCTTGCGTTTGGCCTTTGTCCTCGCTTTTTCATTTCATTGAAAGTCTTGATAGCAGCCTGGAGGCGCCCCTTGTCCAGTTGGTAGTCGATCAGGTGGTTCCAGGACACCTCAACCTTGGTATCCACCGAGGCCATACGGGTCATCATGAGGGCCTCGTCCCAGTTGCCGGCAGCGAGTGCTTTCTTGACGTGGTTGCCGATGTGAAGGGGGTCTTTGAGGTACTGGAGATGCTTCTTGACGACCTTTTTAACCTTGAGCAATTGTTGACTGGGCAATTCTTCCGATCCAGTATCCGTGAGCTCCTTGTTGCTTGGGTACGAATTTCGGAATGATTCCTCGGGCGTACTGGCAACTTTTGGTTCCTCTGATTCTTGCGCCTGCTTCAACGCCTCCTCAATATCCTCGGTCGTAAGAACGCTGGACTGAGGCGGTTCGGAACTCGTTTCCCACTCGGCATTGGATCTCATGGCCTCCCGCATTTTGAGCTTCTTCGGTCGTCGGAGAGCCTGCTTTTCTTTTTCTCGCACGTAGGGCCCGTTCCGCCTGCCGTCCTCTCCTAACGCTGCTCGGATCTCGTTCTGGTCAAGAACCATCTCTGCTGGCACATCCACCCCTATCCAGCCCTTGACCTGCTCCAACCCTTTTTCCAGGTCTCTTCGATTGACGCCATACGCTTCGGCGAGAGACTTGTGTGTTGAATATTTGCGGCGGGCAGAACTGGGGTTGCGGATGGCTAGTTGCAGAGGGCGCAAGAGCCTTGATTCGAGCAGTATTGGGGGGCGCATCCCGCCCATGTTGATGATGCATGACCGACAGACGAACATGGCTGCGGTATCTGGTGCGCAATGCGCAGCACTTTACTTTGTTTGATAACTCTGTCCAAGTCCTCTCCCGTTGGCTTCTTGACACTCTGGCGCAAAGCGATCCTTGGAGTTCCTGTGCCGTATAGGTTTTCGTGACAATTTGTTTCGGCCGGTAGTTTGACAGAGTTCTCGGTCAATCGATCAAAGGTCCCTCGAGGTTGGGGGTTGGCTGATGGTTGAGCTGTGCTGGCTTATCGGGGGTCCTCGAGTGCTGAAGCTGTCCATATTTTTTTTATCCGTCCAGCCCACTTGCGTCAATCTTTGGCGGGCGGGATTGCCAAGGCCAGCTAAACGGGTGCGGGTGGGGCCATAGATCGGCACTGGGCTTGCACCCCATAATCAATGTCGTGCAAGAGTTCGAAGTTCGAACAGCAGGATGCTTGTGGTTTTTGGAAGTGAAAGAAGCTTAGAAGAGAGTTATGAATCTCTTTTGAAAGAGAGAAAACAGAACACAGTACCTGATAGGCTTGTGCACTAGAGCTCTACATATAACTACCGCGAGCTTGAAGGTATTGTCCTATCACCATGGACCCATGTCATGATCTTCTGGTTATTGAGGCTTCAAGTTACTCAGGAAACTACAAGCTACATGAATATACCATCCTAAAAAACCTCACGTAAGTATAGCAAGTTGTGGTTGAACACGGCACACATATGTTGCTGTCTTTGGTGTAAGTGACGTTGAATTTGGCGGTTTGATCCCAGCTTTGTTGCCGAGTGACCCCTGTCACCAATCAAACAGGGGTACACGCCTGGAGACGCGACACACGAAAAGGCGCGTCCAACCCACTTTAACACCAGCGGCCAATTAATGGACAAAAGTTGAAGCCCACCCTCCTGACAGCATCCAGCATTGCCCACCGCCGCTTCCTGTCTAGGACAACCAACAGAGTCCCCAATCTCTATCCATTTTCCTGTAGTTCGGAAAACAACACAACCTACCAGCCATGTCGAGAGCAGGGAGCAAGCGGGACAAGTTCGCCGAACTGCGCGCCCTTCGAGAGTCCGGCAAAAAGAAGTTCGACACATACGAGGTCGAAGAGGTGGAAGATCTGTACGAGGAGGTCGACGAGAACCAATACAAGAAGATTGTGCGCCAACGTCTTAACGAGGACGATTTCGTTGTTGACGACAACGGGGAGGGCTATGCGGATGATGGCCGAGAGGAGTGGGATCGCATACCAGCTGCCTATGACTCGGAAAGCGAGGATGGAGTTGAAGAACGAAAGGAGCGTAAATGTATGTTCTATCTTCTTCTGGATTTGGACCCATTAAAGACCGTTGGCTAATCTAGCTACAACTTCAGCCAAGAAACAGCGAGACGAGGAAAAGGCGAAACGGGACGCCAATGATCGAAATATTACCGAATACTTCACCAAAGGCGCCACCAAGACACAGCCCAAACCCAAGGTCGTTAAGACAGAAGATGACGACAAATTTCTTGCCGACCTCCTCGGAGAGGTTGACGCCAATGTTCCCGCCCCCGTCGTGAGATCATCCAAGAAGAGAGACCGCTCAGCCGAAAGGAGAACGACCCGCGCCCTTTCTCCAGCACGAGAAGCCCGTCAACCGGCCCCCAAGAAGAAGAAGGTGATCGATGACAGGCTTTCTTCACCATCCCCCGACTATGATATGAGTGAGGACAACTTCTTGCCTCCTGCCGAGGACGAGCCAGTAGCAGCTCCGGATGTCATGATGAGCGATCCTCCGTTGCCATCTTCCCCTGCTGCAAAGGTTGCGCAACGGAGAGTGCAACCAAAGGCTGTCATAGAAGAGGAGGAAGAGGACGAAGATATGATGGAGGTTGCTCATACTGGCGCGGTAACTGCTGCTAGCGTCAACATCTCTGCTTCTCGTCCGGTCAAAAAGATTATCAAGGCGGAGCCTCTGCCCAGCGCCGCTATTACATCGTCCCCTATGAAGGCTGCCGAGCCTGCCATTGACGCCTCCTCTTGGAACGGCCTAAACCAAAAATTAAACGTCGTTGGAAACTCGCAGGCCGAGGCCAGAGGGATAGGCAAGATCGACTACAAGGATGCTATCGAGGAAGATGGCAGTCTCAACCTTTTCTGGACCGACTACACAGAAGTCAACGGGAGTCTCTGTCTTTTTGGAAAGGTACTCAACAAGAAGACCAATCACCATGTCAGTTGCTTTGTCAAGATTGACAACATCTTGCGCAAGCTGTATTTCTTGCCCCGCAAGACCCGTGTTCAGGGTAAGGTCGATACTGGAGAAGAGGTTGAAATGATGGATGTCTACAACGAGGTCGACGCCATCATGACCAAGAAGAATGTTGGCATGTACAAGATCAAGGCTTGCACTCGAAAGTACGCCTTTGAACTTCCCGACGTCCCGAAAGAGGGTCAGTACCTCAAGCTTCTCTACCCCTACACCAAGGCCCCCATCGACATGAACACTACCGGAGAGACCTTTTCACATGTTTTTGGCACCAACACAGCTCTGTTTGAGCAATTTGTCCTGTGGAAGAACATCAAGGGCCCTTGCTGGTTGAAGATTGAAGATGCCGATTTCGGCGCGTTGAAGAACTCGTCTCACTGCCGTTTGGAAGTCTTGGTGGATCATCCCAACATGGTCGCGCCCTTCAAGGACAGCGAGAATGTGGAAGCGCCTCCGTTGACTCTCATGAGCATTGCCCTGCGCACCATCTTCAACGCCAAGGCCAACAAGCAAGAGATTCTTGCCATTAGCGCGAGAATCTACGAGGATGTCTCTCTTAGTGACACCACACCTGCCGACAAGCTGCCATGTCGAACATTTACTGTTGTTCGGCCCCAGGGTACTGCTTTCCCCTTGGGCTTTGAAACGATGGCCAAGGAGCGCAAGAGAGGGCTCATCAAGCTCGTGAAGGAGGAGTCAGCCATGTTGTCTTTCTTCCTAGCGCAGGTGGATGTGGTGGATCCAGATGTCATCATGGGTCATCAACTAGAGGGCGTGGACTACAGCATTCTACTTAACCGCCTTCACGAGAAGAAGACTCACCAGTGGTCTCGTCTGGGAAGGCTGAGAAGAAGCCAATGGCCGGCATCGATGGGCAAGGTTGGCGGCAACGTATTCGCCGAGCGCCAGATCATGTCTGGACGACTGCTCTGCGATCTTGCCAACGACGCCGGCAAATCAGTCATGATGAAGTGTCAGTCCTGGAGCTTGACGGAAATGTGCAATCTGTACCTGCCTACCGACGTTCCTCGCAGGGATCTCGACAATGAAGCAGCGCTCAAGAGCTTGGCTGTGACGAAAGACGGCCTTATGGACTACATCTCGCATGCTGAGATTGATACGTACTACGTTGCTGCTTTGGCTCTCCGAACTCAGATTTTGCCGTTGACCAAGGTTCTTACCAACCTTGCTGGTAATTCTTGGGCCAGGACGCTGACGGGTACCCGTGCTGAGCGCAACGAGTACATTCTGCTGCATGAGTTCCATCGGAACAAGTATATCTGCCCAGACAAGGAGCCTTTCAAGGGTCGTGCTCGGCCTGAGGATGAGGAAGACGGTGGCGAGGCTGGTAAGAAGAAGGATAAGTACAAGGGTGGTCTCGTTTTCGAGCCCGAGAAGGGTCTGTATGACAAGTTTGTTCTTGTCATGGACTTCAACTCGCTGTATCCCTCCATTATTCAGGAGTACAACATCTGCTTCACTACTGTTGATCGAACGTTTTTGGTGAGTTGACAACAGCCCCCCTTTTGGGTGCCTTTACTAACATGAACATAGTCCGAGGAAGATGGCGTGCCACAGGTCCCTGAGAAACAGGACCTCGGTGTTCTCCCCAGACTCATCGCCACCCTCGTCGATCGCCGTAGGCAAGTCAAGAGCCTAATGAAGGACAAGACCGCCACCCCCGAACAGCTTGCAACATGGGACATCAAGCAGCTCGCCCTGAAGCTAACAGCCAACTCCATGTACGGCTGTCTGGGATACACCAAATCCCGCTTCTACGCCCGACCCCTCGCCGTCCTCACCACCTTCAAGGGCCGCGAGGTTCTCCGCAGCACCAAGGACCTCGCCGAGAGCATGCAGCTCCAAGTCATCTACGGCGACACCGACTCGGTCATGATCAACGCCAACGTCGACAACGTCGCCGACGCCCTCCGCGTCGGCCGCGAGTTCAAAGCGGCCGTCAACGGCAGCTACAAGAAGCTCGAAATCGACATTGACAACATCTTCCGGCGCATCCTCCTCCAAGCCAAGAAAAAGTACGCCGCTGTCAACCTGGTGGAGACGGACGGGAAGTATGTCGAGAAGATGGAGATCAAGGGTCTGGACATGAAGCGCCGCGAGTACTGTCCTCTGTCGAGGGAGATCTCGAAGAAACTTCTGGATGAGATCTTGTCAGGCAATGACATTGAGGACTCGGTGCAGAAAATCCATGATTACCTCCGCGAAATCTCGTCCAAGATGCGCGAGGGGAAGGTTCAGATCCCAAAGTACATCATCCTCACCCAGCTGGGCAAGTCGCCTACCGAGTACGGCCAGAACGGGGATACGATGCCCCAGATCCAGGTCGCGCTGCGGGAGATGGCGAGGGGGAAGACAATGCGGAAGGGGGATGTGGTGTCGTACATCATTACCGGCGACGCGAAGCAATCCTCGGAGCACTTTGCCAAGCGGGCGTACACACCCCAGGACGTGCTAAAGGCTGGGTCGGAGCTGAGCCCGGATGTGGAGTGGTATATTGGGAAGCAGATCTTTCCTCCGGTTGAGCGTCTTTGCGCGAATATCACCGGGACTTCTACAAGTCAGTTGGCGGAGAATCTTGGGTTGGACCCGCGGAGGTTTGCGAACAACAACTCCAACTCTGGGAGTGGTTCTGCGGGGGGACAGGATCTGGAGATTCACCCGCTGGAGTCGCAGATTCCGGATCAGGTTCGGTTTGCGGATTGTAAACGGCTTTTGTTGAGGTGTAGGGCGTGTAAGGGGACGTCTGCGTTTGAGGGGTTGTTGGGGTCGGTGGAGATGGTTACGCCGAAGGGGCTTGCCTGCCCTTCTTGTTCGGCTACGCTGTCTACACTCTCTATTGTTGCGCAGGTGGAGGCGCAGGTGAGGGAGCAGACGTCGCGGTATTATGAGGGGTGGCTTGTCTGCGGGGATGCGGATTGTGGCAACCGAACTAGACAGATGTCTGTCTATGGGGACCGGTGTCTTGGGCCGAAGGGGCTGGGGAGGGACTGCATGGGGAGGATGAGGTGGGAGTTTGGGGAGAGGGATATGTATAACCAGCTCGTGTACTTTGCTTCGTTGTTTGATGTTGACAAGGCCAAGGAGAAGGCTACGAGCAGGGCGACGGGGGGTGAGACGGGGGAGGTGGTGACTGGGGAGACGAGGGAGAGGGTGATGGTTATGGCGGAGCATAATAGGGTTCGGTTTGGGACTGTGAAGGGGGTGGTGGATAGGTATCTGGATAAGTGTGGGAGGCAGTGGGTGGCGATGGATACTTTGTTTGGGAAGTTGGGGTTTGTGGCCAACTGAGGGAGTGGCTGGTGGAGGGATCACTGCTTATGGATCTGTCACGTCTTTTCTGGTTTGATGGGTTCCATAGTAATAGTCTGGCATAGGCGGATGGCGTTGTCTTGCTTTGGCTTTGATGATTTTGTAGTTTATCATTAGGCGTTGCCTTTTTATTGTTATGAAATAATGCACACCTTATATACTGCTCCTCTGCACCTTCCTGCCAGCGAAGTAGCTGATAAACTTGAAGCAATGGCAGCTTCGGCAGCTTTTCAGGCCACTCTGGTGGTGTTTGGGTTACTCCCTTCGCTTTCAGTTCGATTTCTGGGGATGCTTTTTTCGGTAATTTTCTCCCACTTTCTGGGAGCAACATGCCGGTCTGGTTGGCCATTTAGAAAGAAGGAGCAACTTCGCAGTTGTAGCTGTTCCTACTTTTCTGTCTTGATTCCATTGTTCACACCGGTCAAATACGCATTGAATAACCTCTCGTATACTCCTACACCACCTCCCCCCCACAACACCCCCCATCTTACACACACCCTCAATCCCTCACTGCACCACATCTCCCCCAAACCCAACCGGCCTCCTCCTCCCCCCATTCTCTGGCACAATCGCCAAAGCCTGATAAACCTTCCCCATCCCCCCGGGCCCCCTATCAACCAACCTCCTCCAAGCCTTCTCCACCGCCCTCCCCTTCTCCTCCTCCCCCGCCCTCTTAGCCAGCACCTCAGCCCGTTCCCTAATCCCCATCAACTCCAAGAAATCCCCCTGAGCAACAGGCCCATGAACCTCCACCCCTTCACTCGCTCTCGTAGCCGACTCCGCAATGCCCGCAAAATCGACATCAACTGACAAATCAGTAAGTCCGGGCTCGGCAAAAGGGGAGACACGCCTATGTTTGCGGATGCCACGGAGGGAGTTGGTGGGGATGGTTCCATCTCCGGGCCCGTAATCAAGAATAAGAGCTGCGCCGGAGGGTTTGGGTTTTGGGTGCTGGGGGGAGCCGCCTATCCGGGCTGCAAAGTCGCTTGCGTAGAGGGAGGCGTCGGGGCAGACTTCTAGGAGGGCGCCGGGGCCGACGCTGGATTTGAGAGCGCGGAAGCGGGGGGAGGATTCGGGGAGGTAGAGGGAGTGACGGGTGGAGGAGGTCGCACGGGTGAGTTGGAAGTCGGGGGGTGGGGTCTCCCTGGATTGGGTGGCTGGTGTCTTGAGGGATTCGTGGGTTGAGCCGGGGGGTGTGGGGGAGACGAGCATTTCGCGCCATTGGAGGGTTGGGGTGGTGGTCTTGCTGGAGGGGGAGGAGTTGTCTGTTGAGGAGGGAGCTTCTGATTTGGAGGCGGGGACGGAGACGAGTTCGAAAGCGTGGATGGGAAGGGCGTCGAAGAATTCGTGGGCGACGATGAAGGGCATTTTTTGGGGGGCTATTGAATGTTAGGTTTGAGCAGTGTAGAGGAGGAGTGGAAGTCACTTACCAATAGGAATTGACTTGATGGTCTCGGTCCACACGATGGGCAGGGCGTTGTATTTGCATACGCTGTGATAGCCAACCTTGGACTCGGTCATGGGAGCATCTTCGCCGCAGAGAAGGTTCTTTTGAGCCATTCTGAGCTCGGGACTGGCCTCAACCATGTAGATGGCGTCTATGCTATTGGCCATGGCTGGGAAGCTTTGTATTGTCTACCAGTTGTTAGCTATGACCTCAATTCAGGAGACATAGTTGTACATACCCTAAGAACATCATCCATGAGAGTGCCACGTCCTGGCCCAACTTCAATTAACTCGACGCCCCGACTCTGGCGTCCCTGAGCTAGCCATTCCGTCAGGAACCATACACCAATGAGCTCGCCAAATACTTGTGAGATTTCTGGTGATGTGACAAAGTCACCCTTTAAGCCAAACTGATCCCGGTCTTTCTCAATGGCTCCAGTGTAATAACCTCCGATATCAGAAGTCAAACACATGCGCATAAAACTGGCGAGGGGAATTGGTCCAGTCAACTAGTGATATTATGAGTATGAGCATGAGATAGGTACATGAGTGAGAGCTCACCTCAATGGCAGCTGCCAGCTGCTTGGCAAGAGGAGTTGACCATTTTCGATCTTTGTCCTCATCAATATCTCGTAACCCCGTTGTAGCAGAAAAGTTACGGTGTTGTGATGTCAAAGTGGTGGTGCCATTCAAACGGTTGTTTCCAAGTCTTGGTAATGAGCTTGAGCTCGAACTCCTGGTGGAGGAAGCTCTTGGGAAGATACGGCGAGCGTTGCGAAGGGCTCGAGGCACGGCAGACTTCATGTTGGACGACTGGTGCAGAAAGTCTCAGTCATGCATCTTCTAGAAGGTCATGAAATTTGGAACAGAGAATATATGACGGGCGGGGAAAAGATCTCTCAAGACGTTCGAACCTGCCTGGTGTGTTACACCTGCGCTCTTGCTTGATGCTGGAGCTCCCGAATGATTATCGTTATCTCTTATCTTATCCTAGACCTCATAGAACCCTAACCCGATATCACCCAACGACCTATCCGACCCAAGTGGTGACCTTTAACTCAAACACCAAAAGTGGATGGCTTCTTGATCCTTTTCTGTGTCGTGTAAAAAGCAAATCGAAAATTCTACTCCATCGAGGTAGGTTATTTTGACACCCTCTAAATCACCACGTTGCTTGTCATTTGTTTAACCAACTGCAGAAAGCTTGAATAATGAGGGGCTACCAACAATTGCTTGTTTGCACCACCTCTCGACCAGCCACCATGCAAAGATCTTTCTCAGTTATGCCCAACAGGCCGGGACCGCGGGAAGGATGCAAAATCCCTCCTATCCGGGCTTGCTCCTCCGCGGAGCCTCGCCTTGGCAATGTCACAAGTTCCAACAACCAGTCCACGATTTGGAGTCGCAACATGACCCCTTGACCAACGAGCTGTTTTTTTTGACAAGATCTAACAAGAGCTAGCCTGTAACACTAGCTGGAATCCTACCATCCTATGCAAGTATTGGGGCCGCAATTACAGCGTTTGTGGCGCTGCCTGCAGCCATCATGCACGATGTACCACACACACGGTTTTTCTCAGCCTCCTCTCCTGGCCTTCGAGACTTCTGACCACCGTACATGTTCTCAACCAAGACAGACATAATAGGCGCGGCATGTATAACAGCTTTTGCCCTGCTCACAGCAACGTGATGGCACTAGGCTGGCGAACCATTGTCTAGCCTGCCACTGGACAACTTCACGCCCGAAACGAACTGCCTACCAAATCACTACACCATGGCGAGCCCGCATCGCGGTAATGAAACAGATAAAACCCATCCGCTCATCGAAGCCGCCAAAGCAAACGATTTTGAGAAGGTCAAGGAGCTGCTGGATCAGGCAGAGGATGTGAATGTGAAAGATGAAGCGTACTATGGACAAACCGCCATATCGTGGGCTGCCGAACTGGGTCTTTTGGAAGTCTTCAAGCTTTTATATGAACATGGCGCCCGTTTGGACATTCTGGACGTCGACGGCAACAGCCCAGTCTTCTGGGCTATGAACAAGGAATACGTCAACGTGATTGAGTATCTCCTCGCCAACATCAAAGAGGAAGACATCTCACACAAGTACTGCGCCGGCAGGAGCATGCTGTTTGTGGCTACCGAGTATGGCTCGGCAGAGGATGTCAAACGTTTCGTTTCTTCGGACTCTAACGTGCGCGACGACGATGGGCTGACGCCGCTCATGTTTGCGGCTCTGTATTCTCGCAATGCAGTTTCCAATGCCGCTGCATTGCTCGAGGCCGGTGCGAACCCTCTTTTGGAGGATGATGAAGGCCGCACTGCGATATACTATGCTTGCCAACGGGGGAAAGCCGAATTGGCCAAATTGTTGCTCGACAGGGTCGACGGCAGCTTTGATGTCGACGGCAGAGGACCCGAGGCAAGACCTCTTATCGAAGCTGCTAAACAGGGCGATGTCACGATGATCCAGCTCCTGCTCGAACGGGGCCCTCAACTTGAATTTCCCGATGAACAAGGCAAAACACCACTGTATTGGGCTGCAAAGAACGGCCATATCGAAAATATATGTGCCCTCATAGACGCTGGCGCCGACCCTTACAGACTATGTCGCCCACCAGTTCCTAACGGAGACTGGAACCTGACTGCCTTTGCTATTGCAGCAACCAACTGTGAAGAAAAGTGGCACGACTTTATTCACCAAGACCTCAAGCCGGACCTCACAATCCGGAATGACGAACGTGGCGCAACGGCTTTCCACCTCGCTGCATATTTCGGCGTTGAACCCGCAGCTCTGCAGCGGATGATTGCCGCCGGTTGTTTAGTCGACACCCCAGATATGGATGGCAGGACGCCGCTTCTCTTGGCCTCGGAGCGTGGCCATAGTTCAATCGTTGCTATTCTTCTTGAACATGGCGCAGATACCGAAGTGACGGACAGCAGGTTCAACATGACGGCACTCATGTTGGCCGCAGCGAATGGGCGTGATCAGGTCGTGGAACAGCTTATCCCGGTTAGCAAAGTTGATGCCCGAGATGGCGAGATGGCCACGGCTCTGCATTTCGCAGCCCGTAGTTGTTCTGCCAGCACTGTGGAGGCCCTGATCAAGGCCGGCCCATCTCTGATCGACGCTCCCAACAGCTACGGCGGGTCGCCTCTTTTTTGGGCCGCTAATCATGATCGCCCAGAAGCCGTCCGGGCTTTGATCAGAGCTGGGGCAGATATCTACATGGTCGATGTCAATGGAAGGCCAGCGATATCATTCTGTATTCACAACTTGAATATGATCAAAGCCTTTGTCGATGAGGAGAGAGAGCAACCTGCGCCTGGGAATAAGGAAACGCCCCGTGTGCGTGCGATAGAACTAGCTCTGCGGTATGCGTGTGACGAAGAGGAATATTCTGGTTCTAGATCTCCAATCTTCCCTCTGGACAGCACAGACGACGAGGTGTATCTCAAGGCCGTGGACGGGAACGGCAGGAACTTGGTGTCGTGGGTAGCCCAGTACGGACACTCTTTGGAGATGGAAAAGCTGTGTAAGAAGCCGAATCTCGACTTCAGAACGGCAGATGACCAAGGTCGTACCCCTTTGCACTGGGTGGCCCAAAACAAAATCACCAGTGCCACCGAAACGGTAATGATGGTCAGAAGTCTTCTCGACCTCGGGGTTTCTCGTGACTCTCGGGACAAAGCCGGTCGGACACCACTTTCTTATGCAGCAGAAACCGGTCTCTTGGAGGTCATGCAGCTTTTGGTAAGAAAGGGCGCAGAGGAGGACAGCCAAGAAAACAATAAGAGAACGGTGCTTTCTTGGGCTGCCGCAGGGGGGCACGAAGACTGCGTCCGATATCTTCTGAGTGTCAAGAGTGTAAGGCCAGACAGCAAAGACGTCGACGGCAGAACTCCACTCTCCTGGGCCGCTGGAATGGGCCGCTTGGAAGTTGTCAAAATGCTGCTTGCTCGGCGTGATTGGAAGGGCCCGGGTGAGGATAGTCATAATGGTCGGAGCAAGAAGGGTGCTTCGGCGACAAATGAGGCGGCTGTGGATATCAACTCGCGTGACAACAAGTCACAAACACCACTCTGGTATGCGGCTGACAATCAACATCTGCCTGTATTCGAGACGCTGCTCTTGTATGGGGCAAAATCAGACATCAAGGACAACAAGGGGAGGCTTCTCAAAGACTACCTCGACGAGAGGATACAGAAAGATTCGGTATCGGAAACAAGAACTCTGAGGACCATGTTTGGCAAGCTGAATCCATCCGGATTTCTCTGGCGTGAACCATCAACTATGACTACTCGGGTTGACAGCGAGTTCAGCGCAACCCTTCTGTATTACTCGAAAGATAATCTCGAGATACACACCCCGACAGTCGCGTCAATCCTGCAGGGGAAGCGCCCACCTTCCAGAGAAGACATGGCGTGTGTTTGGACACATCTTCCTGCCAACAACGTGAGTTTGACTTCAGCTCACCGTATAGAAACCATGCTAACGGTTTCACATGCGTAGATGCGATGGGTTGAGGTATGTTCGTCAAATACACAGATTAAACAACCTCGCCTTAGGTGATTAACACTGTGCCGAAACTCTCAGGTGCTCATGGCGAAACATTATGAGGCTTTGGGAGAGGGCTGGCGAGCCAATGTTGTTTTGAAACCAAGGTTGTGGGAGCAGCATCAACACAAGTCACAAGATGGGCAGTACCACGCAAGGTTCATGCGTCCGGCGTGTCGTCCGTTCGCCTTTCGTAAGCCTCGATTCCTCGGACACAGATTCTCTGGGACTTTCGACAGGGGCTAACTAAGCCGGTTTGACACTCGCAGCCGAAGAAGATCCAACTGAACAAGGCTTGGTCCTTTTTGTGAGTAGTTGGCGTCGAGTCTTGCCATCTCCTTGCTCTTTAGATAGCATGGTTCACAGTGAACTAACCAGCTGACCACAGATGCCGTATTTACATTGGGAGCAGGAAGAAGAACAGCGAAAGCTCAAAGACGTCCTGGTAAAAAAGTCCGAAGCCAAGAAGAAGATATTTCCGACCGAGGATGCCGCCAAAGAGTATCGCCGTAACCCCGTCCGAACAGCACTTGATGATAGGAGTCTCTGCGGAACCGAAAAGCTGTATTGGGCCTACCTCGACGAAGAGCACCCGCTGCATGGTCGACGTACGCTCGACCAATTCTACTACCACACGCTCGCGGACACGGAGAAACGTGACCAGGACCAGACCTCCTTGAGGTACTTTAATGAAAGACGACAGACCCTACACTCGAAAGAGTCAGAGGATTTGAAACCCACAATTACCATGGTAGACCAGCTATGGATGTGGGTGCTGCCAAAGTGCGGGAAATCGCCGAGAACCATCATCACTGCCTTTCCACAACGATCCAACAGGATGACGACAAAAACCTCGAAGATTATGACATCACTGGTATCTAATATTTTTGATCGATTTCGCGAGCAGTCAGCGAAAGGTGATGCATCGGTTGACGAACTGGCAAAAATCATAGTCGCAGAGTGTGCTCGGATATACTTTGATCCTATGAGTAACCGGAATGAGTTGGTTCAGTTTGTCGAGATATATCGGACATCAATTGGTGAAATTGTGAGCCTCCCTCTTTTAAACTGTCCCCGGCATTAACTGTGACTCATTCTAACAAACCTGTGCCACCAGACTGAGGATGAGACCAACCGCTTCCTGTCTTTTCAAAACAACATTCCAACTGCCGATGAGGAACAGCCTGACGCTTCGTCTGACAACAAGGCAGGCGAATCAAAGGCTCTATCGCCACATGCCGAGTTTGATGAGGTTCCCAAGAAGTTGAACGCCATGATTGACATCAAAGCCGATATTGAAGACTTGAGAAAGATCAAGGACATTCGCGATGAGCTTCACATCATCTCATCGATTTTCCATATACAGAAGAACATTGTGGAGACTCTAGATCATATTCTCGAAGACTTTGAAGAGCAAAGAAACACCATGATCCTAGAGCAAGAGCGGAACCTCGGGCCGCCACCTCCATTCAGAAGACGAGATTACAGCCGTGCTTTCTCGAGACGCACTGTTAGCCCACCTTTCAGACGCCGAAGCTCCAGCCCCCCATTTAGAAGAGGCAACCCCTACCCGCCTTCTAGGGGGTTCCGCTCGCCTTCCCGGAGACGAACCCCAGATATTATTTACAACAATGCAGGGATCGAACAGGATTCGGATCGGCAGAAGTACCATTCGCCAATGCTGGAGGTTGTTACTCGCAACATTGCAGAGGTCGTGCGCCTCGAAAAGTTTGCTGAAAGAGCTATCCAAGCGGTAAGTCAACATGGTTGCCTTCCCTGTTGTTCGCGAAGCTTGTACTAATAAGATGACTGCTGCTTAGATTGAACAACTGCTGGATTTGAAGCACAAGCAGGCTAACCTCCAGCTGACGAGGGGAATCTACAAGATCAACGATGAAAATGACAGGCAGGGCAAGACGATCATGTACTTTACTGTTGCAACCATTATCTTTGTAAGTTTCCCCTTGTAACCTGAACTTATTTGCACTTGAGCAGCTTCGCTGACCGGAAATACAGCTTCCGCTATCATTCATGGCCTCCTTTTTGACCATAGAGGTTGAGGAATTTCCACGTGGCGACACCGGGAACCTGTCGTTGAAATTCGTCCTCATCATCATATGTGCGTATAGAAACATGTCGCTAGGCTCGCTGCACACTCACTGACCGTCTTGGAAAAATAGTTTCGATTTCTGTTGGCCTAATCATTCCATCGGTGTTCCTGGCTTTCAATCTTGACAAACGAACTCGTGACCAACGGTGGCAGAATTTGCTGAATAGCTTCAAAGAGATCATGGGGCTCACGGTGAGGAGTACAAGTGACGGTTTGAAGGCAGGCAAAAGTTGGGCGAAGAGGCGGGGCGATCGGGCGGTCAAGACCAAGCAGCGGGATCCTGAGATTGGGGGTGGTGTCACCTTGGTTGGTGTTGACAATTCTCAGTTTCGGTCGGGAGTTGAGAATAGGGACGGTGATGTCGGTCAAAAGGGGTGACGGTCACTACGGTGATCGGCTCGGGGGGTCTACATAGGCGGCAGGAGGCGAAGGCTACTTCTCATGTGGGTTCTAGCACTACGGATGGTATCAAGTAGGGGACTCGTATGTTGATGCTGGTACCTTAAGGAAGGCGCCGAAGACAAATCCCATACTATGACAGAGGTCTTACCCAGCTACACCTTACAACATGGATTGAACATCAGAAGGAGTTGAACGATTGGTAAAAATACTTAACGATTATGGTTGGGCACATGTCAACCTCTATTGGCTTACCGTACGATACTGATCCGTTAGCATTTCACCGCCACGAAAGTCCAACACACTGTTATATATCGAGTATTGGTTAATCCTATGGGGGTTACGGACTTCTTTGAATCTTCCTTAATCAACGTTAACGGACGTGGTCGTATAAGTTGTTCTTTGGCTGCTGCATACGTACCAACGTTGTACCCCCTGACAAGGGTTAGGGTTGCCGTCGCAGAGTGATGTCAGGCCGCAGCGGGAGCTTGGGGAGCTCCGCCAAGTGTCCATACAGCGCTCGCCAGCCAGCAACGAACAACTGTCCAACCTCGACATCTGACACCTTCAACTTTGCAACCCTAGAAACAAACCACTTCACACCCACCAACCGACACCATGGTTCGATTCATACCCGGAGTGACGGCGACATCGCCAGTTACCAACAAGAACGGCAGCGATCCCCTGACGGACCTCACCCTACTGCTCAACCGCCTCCAGCGCACCATCCTCCACGCCGACGCCGAACGGGAAGCCAGGCTCAAAGAGAGCGAGTTTGAAAGAGAAAAGGTGCTGCGCAATATCACTTATGCCCGGTCGCTGCTCACAAAGGTCGAGCAAGACACCCTGGGTATCAGGATCCATGCGCGCCGGCAGGATCTCCAGGGGGGTCTCGTGCGAAAACGGGAGTTGCTTGAGCAGTTGGCGGAACGGCTGGCTGATTTGGCTGAGGTGGGGAGCAGGCGGGATAATGAGGAGGAGAATGAGGATGATACTTCGGAAGGGGAGGATATTCTGGCTGATATCATTGTTACGCCGAGTGCGAGTGAGAGTCAGGATTCCATTTCGAGACCGACGGATGAGGAGGAGCTGGATGAGGATGATGATGATGATGGGGTGTTGGGGACGCCGCAGTTTCAGGGCGAGCCAAGGCTGCCGAGGCTACCGCCGCCGCCGGTGCATACGCCTTCTCAGGAGAATTTACAGGCTGGGATAGCGGCTGCACAATCAACGACGGAAACGAAGGCTGAGCTTCGGCCGAGGAAGGGTCGGGATGATGGGCCGACGAAAGAGGACAAGCCGTCGGCGATATCTTCCTCTTCTGCGCTGTTTGGGGACAGGAACAATAAGTCTGCGCCTACGACTGCTCTCTCGGCGGTGACGACGACGGAAGCTATTCTTGACCACCAGCGGGCGGAGCAGGATGCCTTGTCGGAGTCTATTTTGCAGCTTGCATCCCAGCTTAAGGCATCCTCGCAGGCGTTTTCGATGAGTTTGGAAGAGGATAAGGAGGTGGTGGAGAAGGCGGGGGAGGGGATGAACAAGACGGGGGAGGGGATGGATGCTGTCACGAGGAGGATGACGACGCTGCAGAGGATGACGGAGGGGGAGGGGTGGTGGGGGAGGATGAGGTTGTATGCGATTGTGTATGGGTTGATGGTGGTGTTGGTTTTGGTGGTTTTTGTCATGCCCAAGTTGAGGTTTTAATTCCTGTGGCATAGATATGAGAGGGCGCATTCATGATATCTGTTTGGTGTCTTTGGTTAGCATCTTTTATATGGCGTCTTGATGGGCTATACTCGATCGCGCCCTCCGTCTCTGGTAGCAGCCCGTTCTCGCCATTCCAAGTATTAAAGCCAACGTCATCTTATTTCTCAACAAGGCAGGGTAATCGACCTGGGCAGGAAGGAGCGGCCTCTTTTACTTCGAGGTTGACGATATTCTGAGATCATTATCTCAAGTCTTTTCGATCCTCATCCACAACTTCACCTGTACCACATCATTCCAGCATTCTTACTCACACTATTTACCATCAATCCCGCTTGACCGAAGCAGAAGCTACCGACGGACAGACATTCACTCATTCGTCTGTTCACAACAGAGTCCCTGAGATGGTGACCGGTCGAGGAGGTCGTCGATAGGTATTCGAGATATCCTATTATGCATTCTAATACAATTTACACGCCTACTTATTCTTCTTTGACATCTGTTGACTATCTTTCGAGACCTCACATACTGGCGGCATCTTTCAGATTTCCTTCATCCGATCTATCGTCGTCTTGAGGAAAGAGCAAACCAGCGAAGCCATCACGATAAGGGGCAGCTCACCTTTTTTGTGGCAATTTCCTGGCAAGTCTCTGCGAGTTTTGTCCACACCCGTTCGGTCCAAGGACACATTATTATCTTCTCTGCTCTTAAAGGCAGCAAGCTGACGAAGCCATCCCGGAGCACAGAAGATTATGATTCAGCAGTCTCTGACAGTCTTTACTGACCCCTATTCCTACCAGCACTGTTCCTCTTGACATATCGAGACCTACTCATCCCAACTTACATATCTTTGAGAGCTTCGCCCACGTACCAGCTTCAGAACTTACACCATACCTTGATCAAACTACACCACAGTCCATTCCATCCCTTCTACGCCATGAATATCTGGGAAGGAGCAGACAAAAAAGTCAGCACGATAAGATATCATCCCCTCAAACTTTTCTCCCTCTCTTATCGAATCACTCTCGTTCCTCCATCCATATTTATGAATATCTTCCCCAGATTCCAAATATCCTCGGCGACTTCTACCAAGCATCACACTTTGATCCACGTCCATGGTCTGAACCTCGACCAGAACCCCCAACACATTTCGACATCTCACACAAGATACACATACACAAGCTCATCATCATGCCCCGCGGTATCCGCTTCAAGGTCAAAGACCTCACCTTTAAGGAAAAGGGCATGTTTGCCAAGTTCACCATCGCTGTCTGCGGGTCCTTCAAGAACAACCCCAACACCCACTGGAACGACACCAACCTCCACCGCTGGATCACGCTCCGGGGCGGGCGGTATCATAAAGGAGCTACCATCACGAGGGACGTCACTCATTTTGTGACGGACGAGGATGAGCTGAGGTCGAGGTCTCCGAGGGCGGTGGAGGCGTTGAGGAACAAGAGGATTCAGATTGTGCCGTTGGAGTGGTTGGAGTTTAGCATGATCAACAGGAAGGTCTTGCCGGCGGTGAAGGGGGGGGAGTATGACTTGCGGGAGGGGGTGAGGAGGGAGGGGGAGAGGGTTAGGAGGGAGAGGAGGGTTGAGATGGGGAGGGTGTTGGGGGAGAGGGCGGTTAATACTAGTGAGTTTTGGATGCCCCCTTTTTCGTTGGTCGGGGTGGGAGGGGACTGACGTGATAATATTTAGATTTATACCGGGTTTACACGGATGGGACATTTTACCGGTATGAGGTTGAGTTGTTTCGGGAGTCGAATGCTGTTCAGGGGCCAACGCCGGAGACGACGCCGGTGAAGCTGCAGCTTCCGGCTTTGTCTAAGGGGGTGTCAGATCTAGACTCTGAGGTTGAGACAAAGGCAGAAGTGGGATCAGAGAATCAGACACCGACAGAAAAAGAACCGGGTTTCTCTTTCCACCATCCTGTGGTCATCTTTGAGGATGGCCCTGAGCTGGATGCTCAGCCCAAGTATCGCACACCCATGGATTTGCAGCTGGCTTATCGTCAGCTGCCTACTCTCACGACTGTTACCCCTGAATCTCAAGACGAAGTTGACCCTGAGGATGTTGAGATGGACATTGAGGCTGAACCAGAGACACCCACCAAGACGGCCAGAGTTGACCGCGGGGAGAAGTACACACTTACGGTAAGCCTGTTCACTCCCTCCTCACTACCCCTCTACGTACACTAATTTCCACACGTCAGCTCTACGAATCCCTAGCCCAACCCCCCCTCTACTTCTTTTGCGCCAAGTACTCCAAGTCCAGCACCGACACCTTTCCCAAGTATTACCGTCCCTCGGAGACGCCGCAGCTCTTTTGGACAGAGTACACTCACTTTATTGAGTTCTTCCACAAGAAGACGGGGGTGGAGTGGCGGAAGAGGTTGCTGTTCTGTGGTGAGGGGAAGTCAGGTGCGGGAAGTAAGAGGAAGGGGAAGGGGAAGGAGGAAGATGATGGGAAGGCGGGGGAGGGGGAGGGGGTGGAAAAGGGGTGGTTTACGTACTCTCCTCCTGGGGGTGGGAAGCCAGTTGGGTGGGTTCCGGAGGAGTATATCCCCAAGGAGAAGGAGGGAGAGGTGGAGCGCAGTGGGGGGCCGGATGGGAGGGAATAGAGGATGGGAATGGGAATTGGGGGTATTATGAGAAGACAGAGAAAGCATGAAAAAAAAAAAAAAAGGGGGGGGGGGGGGGAGGCGTTAAGTTCGTATACCGAGGGGAGGTTTTATTGTTGTATGCGTTCATCTATTTCATTTAAATGTTGCTATCATGGTTCTATACCTTGCTTTTACCCAACTATGCATGTACTTTCCTTTCTATACGCTGTTTTTATCTTTCTATGCGTTCATTTATCTTTCACTTCCCAGTGTACACCATATAGTTACATGATCGTGCACCTTCCGTATCAAATATAACGCGGTCGCTTTATGTTGATCTACCTTGTTATACAACGTGAAGGTGCCTAGGTGTTATAAGTCGTATATAAAGTCCCATTTCAAGGCGTAAATGATGTGAATGAATTAGCTGTGTCAATGATATGAGAGCCTTTTGACAAGTTCTTATGTATACATACGAAACTAGACAACAGAAAGGCATTCTCCGACTGAAAGAAACATATATACCCTTTCCATATATCAGGGAAAATACCTATACAATGGGGCTGTAAGCCAATGGGATCCACCCCTTACTCTAGGTTTATTTACATACTTGATAAAGCTGTTCAATGTCAGGTACACAGATTTCCGTCTATGAACGAGCTCGGACGGTTTTTTCGGGTGTGGTGCTGTGAGGAGGAGAGTTTGATAACCCAAAGGGGAGTGATTCGATAATGGAATTTCGTCCCGAAGCATATCCAGGAATCTTGTTCTGTGAAAACTTATCCCAATAACTACAGGAATTCAGGTGCTATCTTTATGTAGGCTACTTCGACAGCTCCAAGACTAATATTAATAGTGTTCGTCCGAGATGGCGGTGATATACTCAATTAGTAATAACCTCTTTTCCTAACTAACTTCAGCACTTTAGTTGTTGCTTCGTCCGAGCTACTACAAGAGCATAAAACCCAACGGGAACATTGTTCGTCCGAGCTGCCTTGAGAACTATCACAGGGAAGGGTAGGCGCAAAAAGGTCTCGTCCGAACAAGAACATGCCGAAGACTTCAGACGGTTAGGCTTTTACTCTTCCGACTACCACGAATCCGACTCATACTTGGACCTGGGTTTTCGACTTCTACGGTAATGAACGCTGTGGAGCTTGACGACTATAAATACGACTATCACCACGACTATTACCACGATAACGCCGAACATGAAGTAAAGTTCCAGCTCGCTAATCACACCACCTTCACCAGTTGCGTCACGTTCTTGGTACTAACCTCCCTCTCAGATGGTGTTGAGGACAGAGTGTCGTCTGAGCAATCACAAAAAGACTTGTATGACAGCAGCACTTCGGACGAAACAGTTAAGTGATTTTAGGATGTGAATAACAAAACAAGTAGTCCATCAACCCCCTCACAGTAAAATGAGCAAATCACCCTATACATAATGACCACCAACTCTATCAAGAATACTCATCTATGATCCCACAACACCGCCCATCAACCTCTACCGAATAGCCTTCGCAGCCTTGACAAAAGCCCTAATCTTTTCCAAGCTCTGCTTCCCATCCTCCTCTACCCCACTGCTAACATCAACACCAATAACCTGCCCGCCCAACGCACCCAAGGCCTTCACAGACTCGGTCACGTTCCCTGGCTCCAGACCACCAGCCAACAACACCTGCAACTCAGCATCCTTCTCCAACTCGGCCTTGACACTCTCAACATCAAGCAACTTGCCTGTGCCAGCGCCAGAATCCAGGAGTGAAACAGCGTGGTACCCCCTCACTCCAACGCCAACCTGCCCAGGCTTGAACTTCCGGATGACTGGTACCGGGATAAGGGACGCCCACTCAAGTGGCTCGTCACCGTGAAGTTGGACGATATCAAGGTTGTACAGCCTCTGCTTCTCGAGCACTTCCTCCAGGGGCTGGTTCATAAACACACCTACAAGAAGAGGGCGGTGTTTCCTCAGGAGCTCAGCCGAAACAGAAAAGAAGTCCGTGGCTGACTTGGGGAGTTTAACCGCCTCACCAGCAGTGGTCTGCGCATCATGAACAGCCTTCGAGATGGCCAGGGCCGTTTCATCAGAAACACACCGTTTCGTGCCAGGCACAAGAATCATGCCCACAAGGTCAGCACCAGCCTTGATAGCTTCCGTGGCCGCCTCGGCAGAGCGGGTGCCGCAGATTTTGACAAGCATAGGGTTGGTAACACTCTGAGGAGCAGCCGCCTCAGGACCAGCACAAAGCTCCCTGATAAACTTGGACGCGTCGGGAGCGCGCATGATGGCCTCGCCAACAAGAATGCCGTTGATACCATCCCTCTTGCAATCGAGAACATCCTGGTGGCTGTTGATGCCGCTGAGAGCGAGCAAGAATGTGTCCTTGGGCACCATTTCCTTCAAGCGCCCCGTGGTTCCAAGATCGACCTCGAAATTCTCCAGGTTGCGGTTGTTGACACCAATGACCTTGGCACCAAGCTTGATGGCAATGGTCATCTCTTCGGCGTTTTGTACCTCTACTAATGGTTCCATGCCGAGTGAGAGCGAGTACTTGTACAGACGCTCGAGAAGGTCGGTCTCCAACATCTTGACAATGAGAAGCACAGTATCGGCACCTGCCAGCCGGGCTTCCAAAATCTGGTACTCCTCAAAAATGAACTCCTTTCGGAGAACAGCCGGGCGGTTGGGCATGCCATTGAGTACTTGGCGCACAGCGCGGAGGTCTTCAATGCTGCCCTTGAACCACTCTGGCTCGGTGAGAACGGAAATGACACTGGCTCCGGCAAGAGCGTATCTGCGGGCCTGGGTTGGGGCGTCGATATCGAGAGCAAAGATGCCCTTGGATGGTGACCCTCTCTTAATCTCTGCCGCCAAAGCTACATCGAATGGGGACTGACGAAGACGGTCGACGAGGGAGATCTGAGGAGGGGCGAGGTTGAGGTTGTACGCCGCTTGCAAGTCGGATGGTCTTTGTGAGGGAATCTGCTTCTGGGCGGCCACGGCCTCCTTACGGTGAGCGTAGATCTTTTGAAGGATGTTGTTCTTGGCTGGAGTGGCCTTTTTCGGGACAATCTTGGACTCTTGGGAAGCCTTTTGCAACTGCTCATTCTCAGCCCAAGTGCCCCCCTGCATGTACAAAAAGTTCTTGAGCATGAGGCGGCCATCGGCAGACAGGATACTTTCTGGGTGGAATTGCACACCCTCGATAGTGTACTCTGTGTGGCGAACACCCATGATGACACCCTTGGACCCATCTTGATTGGCGATCCAGGAGGTGACCTGGAGGCATTTTGGAAGAGTAACGTGAGTGCCGGCGAGGGAGTGATAACGTGTTACTGGCAGGTCCTGGGCCAGGCCAGCATAGACACCTTTTCCATCGTGACAAAGGGGTGAGGTCTTGCCATGCAAAATCTCACCAGCAAAGCTCACTTCTCCACCGTACAGGTCAATCATGCATTGCCTGAAGACGTGTTAATGAATGCTTTGAAAGAGCAGACTTTTGGCCAGACTTACTGCCCCATGCAAACACCAAAGATGGGCACCTTGCCAGCAAAGTGTTTGATAGCATCACGGCTGATACCCGAGTCTGTACCTGGATGGCCGGGACCGGGGCTGATGACCAGTTGTGTTGGCTTCTTGGCAATGAGCTCTTCAAGAGTGATCTGGTCGTTTCTGAAGACGGTCACTTTGGCGCCCTCCAGAACAAGATACTGATAGACATTCCAGGTAAAGGAGTCGTAGTTGTCGATGAGGATTAGGTTGGACGCCGTCGGAACGAGGGGAGACGGATCGGGATGGTGGGGTGAGTGATCGATAATGGCAGGCATTTTGATTTGTTTTTGGCCCCGAACTCGGCAGCTGAGGCTGGTACAAGGGACGTCAGACTTTTGGGTTCTCAAGGGGTGTATAGTCTTTCTCAAAGACTCTGGAAGGCTCTGGCGACGATGGTATCAAGTGTCTTGAAAAATGTAGTGAGTCACCCCTCTCTTGGTTGAATGTGTCTCTTACAAGGGAGCAGCACTCTGGACTTCTGGACATTCACTTCAATTCACGGCAGCTTTCGGAAAAGGCCCCGATGGACCATAAAGGCAATGATCCGTGCGTTTATGGGTTCCAAAACAGACGCTAAGCCAGGCACAGGGCCCCAGCTTATCGATAAGAAGCTTGGAAGCACTGGTGGACCCCCTTGGCTGAAAAATAGCGGGCTGAGTTGGGTTGGCAACCGCTGGAAGATCCATGATATGGGAGCTCTGCAATTGCGGCCCGCGTCTGAGCTGCCAACTGCAGAAGCGCGTCCAAAGTAAATTCAACTTTTTGCGATCCCGAAACCAAACAAACCACCACTTGCCGATAGCTCCACCACCAACACCACCGACCATCTCCTCTGTCGGCTCATCATCGCGAATACTTGGACCACGCTCGGGGCATCGCATATTGCTGGTCATTGGCGGCAGAGTCGACAAACGAATGGAGAGCAGCACCAATGGCTGCCCCAACTGACAAAACATACTTCCCCCCCCTCGAGGACTGCTTGAAGGGCAGGGCTCCTCTTCTGTAAGTTTGCGCTTCCCCCTAATGCTTGTTGCCTTTCTTCTAACCTCGCGCCCCCCGGCTCTGTAGCTCATGGAGACTTGTCGCATCCGCCCTCGAAGATTCGAATAGCGACCGACTGACCAGCACTGCCGTATCGGATTTTCTTCGAGATGGCTTCGTCCATCAGCTATTAAAAGAGCCCACCAAGCCATTTAGTCCCCCAACGAACCAGTCCAAGCTCGATTTCCAAACCAGGACGGGCGCCATTAATGTTGTACCATCACCAAAGGACCCCTACGACCTGAAGCAGATCAAGGAGGACGCAACATGGCTAAGCAAGAATGCGAATGTCAACGAGGTGGCTGCGCTGCGCATTGTGGTGGTGGAATATCAGTCGCGCGCCCACAGCCATCTTACCGGACCCTTCTCAACACAGGATGCCGCCAACATTCGGGAAGCTGCCGGTGTCAGCGATGCCCAGGCCTCGAGCTTCCTTTCTAGTCTCAACGTGGTGGCAGTGGTGGATGCCGAAGCAAACTGGGCCGAGTTCGAAAGCGAGACGAAACGTCGCCAGCGCCTTATCACGACGTTTCTAACCGAAAGACGGTCTTTCTTCGCCTCGGCTGATGCCTTTACAACCTTTTTGCTACATTCGCGACCCCGTAATAGAACGCCAGCGGCAGACGAGTTACGGCAGGACATTATGAAGACTGCCTTCAACTGGGATGACCGCGACTTCCAAGTTGCCGACCCATCGCTCCTCAAAGCCATGGCACCCACCTATTTTGCAGTTCTTCCCGAGTTGGTCGAGGAGGTGGAAAAGGGTCCACGGGAGCTCGAGAAGACGGTCTTGACCTCCCAGATCGAGTTGGATTGGAGTCGGACATCCATCACCGAAGTTATCCACGCCATGTCGGTGGCATTTCAGATCATGGATCTTGAAGGCCCACAATTCCATTCTCCGGAACTTGTTGCGCAATGGTTTACCCTCATGGATAACTACCGATTCCTGGAGCCCATCATGCCGATTCTTGAACAACATGATATGCTTGCCGAGCTGGTCCTCCCTGTTCGGAGCTTAATGACTGTCATTTCACTCAAGTTTCTCAATATCGACCGTGCGCTTTTGTACCTGTCGCCCCCAGACGATGTCGATCGGAGTGAGGTGCTAGTGGATGGTGAAGAGCCCTACCTCAACTCGGCCGAGCTTCTAAAACAAATCCATGACATCCTCCAGGCGGCTACCAGTGTTGGTGTACCAATGGCTGTTCCGCTTGCCTTTGCGTGGTCCTTGATCATTCACCAGATGCACGTCGGCTACCAGGATAGAGCCGAGCGGAGGGATTTGATCAACAACCAAAGGGCCAGAGGCACGTTCGAATCAGAGGCCATCGCGGCTCCTACACTACCAGAAGGGCGACAGCGACGAAATTCCGGCGGAAGTTTGATCTCGATCGAGCAATCACCCTACGACGCCTTTCTGGAAGTTGCAAACCTGGAGCGAGACATGCAAGTGGCCGAAACAATGGCCATGGTGGCTACCTCGAGGGGCCATGTCTACAATATCATCAGCGAGATGATTAGCTGTCTGGGCTATGGCGAGACGGCTGCTTTTCGACCGATGATTGGTGCTCGTTCACGCGTGGTGTTTGAAGACCTCTTGAAGCGGACTTTCCACGTTGTGGGCTACCAGACTGAGCCTGTTGCATGTCTGCTGTATCTGTTGTCTGGCAGCAAGTCATACTGGGACATCTCTTCAGAAGTCCCCAACTCGGCTGCGCTAGACATATACACTCAGATGCTCACAGACCCGCTCTTGAGAACACAGTACACCGAACAGTCGCACAATAGATACCCATACGAATTCATCCCCTTCACCGAGATATGTCGATCGTTGTTGGCAGCTCTGGTGTCCGACAAGCAGAGCTCGGAGCAGATAGTCGGATGGCTTTACAGAACACCAAGTCTGACCATCGAGTGGAATCCCATGTGGGATCGATCATATCATCTGGTGAATGAAGATGAAAATACGAATTCATTCTGCGTGGATGAGGACATCGACCTGTTTAGCGCACGATCCTTCAGGAAAGTCGCGCCTCAAGAAAAATTCACCATTCCGAGCGGAACATATGGCCGGTTCGTCACCGATGTTGGCAGAGTAGCCAAGCTCGAGTTTGAACACTCGGCTCTGGCGCTGCTTGGGAAACGCCTCGAGGTATACCTGTCGGACGGGGCGTGGGACAGCGGGTTAGGGCAACTTACCACGGACGACCTTGCGGAAGCGATATCCCTCCTGGCTGTCGTGTTGCGGACAGAAGTTCTCAGGAGCACGGGTAGATCACCCAAACCAAACACAGAGAGCGCCATCAAGGTTCTTCAAGAAACCAGCAGCAGCCTCCCGCGTAACAACGACATCATCAAAGTCGTGTGTGGGATCCTGAATGGCTTGATTGAAGAGGATCCTACTCAGCTGGATGCCGGCAAGTTCAAGGTGATGACGGCCTCCCTCCAGTTTCTCCATGCGTTGCTACCAGTGGTCCCCGGCCGGGTTTGGTCATACATGTCCAACTGTGGTCTCATCAGCAGCGAGGGGCGGTCCGGTCGACTCTCCAGAATCACCGGCAACCTGGACATGTACGCCGAGCTGGTAGACTTCCTGCAGTCCGCTGTGAAGCTGTTCTCCAGCTTGGTGGAAAACGCAATGTCGAGTGCTGCGCAGCGGAAGACGGCGGCAAGCCCCAATGCCCGCGTCAGAATTGACGAGAACCCATGGGCCGGCATGTCGGAGAAGATTCTGTCTCAAGTGTGCCTTGCGATAGCCCAGACCGCTGTAGACATCTTTGAAAACTCAGCGACATGGAGATTCGAGTCAGAGGTGGGCGAAAGCATTGTGATCACAGAGGTGGTGAACATCATGACCAGCCTGCTCTTCTACACATATAGCATGGGTTCGCCGGAATCGCCCAAGAACTTGACCAGCTGCCTGTTGGAGGCTTCTCGGTACATCATTGAAGGCTTTTTGGCTCCCGCGTCCAGCTCGCTTCGATTCCAACCACTGTTGACCTCGCTCCTGGCCGCCTTCAAAATCACCGACTCGACACTCTACCCTTATCGATCCCGTATTGTATCGGAAAGACTCACGGGGGTGGTTTCGTTTGCCACCATTATCCTGAGAGTTGCTAGCTACCTGGACCACCCCACGGCCGCCATCCAAACGCAGCTATTCAAGTGCGCCGCCCTTGTTGCTAGACTTCCAGCCATCAAGCACTCCTTCAAGATACCTGTCATAGCACTGCTGAGCGCACTGGTCGAAAATGCCGGCAAGGGTTCCGGTGAACCGCCATCATTGCTTGGCTACCTTGGCCCGCAAGTGTCTCACTCGTTCATTCAGATTGCCTCCCAGTTGGACAAGCCCTTTGACAGGATACCCGAGGTGGTGAGGACCTGGAACTTCTTTTCCATCATCCTACGCAACCGGCAACAGTGGATGGCGAACTGTCTTCTCACCGGCAAGACCCCTCGCCAGGCTCTCAAGGGTGACGCAAAGATGGCAGAGATCTCACCAGACTCGGTACTGTCCACAGCGTTGGAGAAGCTTCGGTCTATTGCCACGCTGCCTAGCCAGGAAGCCCTCGCCATTCTGGACTTTTTCACGTCGGCGCAGAACTACTGGGCTTGGACCATCTTTGCCATGCAAAAGGATAAGTCCTTTTTGGGTAGCCTGCGGTCCTATGTCAAGAACCTCAAAGCTCCCGAGCTCGTCTTTAAGAACGACCCGGCCGAGGCGGGTTACCAAGCCAGGATAGCAGCTTACATTGCCGAGACCTTTGCAATGCAGCTTTACCACTTGCGGCAGATGCGTCAGGCGCAGGACTTTGCCACCAAGGTTGTGGAAGACCTCGACTATTTCCTTAGGCATGGTGTTCAGGTAGCGGATTATAATGCCTCGCTACACTCTAACTTTTCAAAGAATTTCAGTCAGAGGTATCCAGGTCTTGAGTTGGATGACTTTAAGAGGACCGTCCTGGTACCCAAGAATCTTGGAGCACAGTACTATTATGGCATGGATTTCGCTGAAAAGATGCTCGGATATGATGCGGGTTGGGCGGGAGCCGGGTCTAAGAAGAATGGTTTCCGGACAGAGATGGAGAAGGCCAATCTCAACCTGTCGCTTGTGGAAGCCGAGGTGGTGAGTGTCTTTCTGTTCATGCGATGCAGTAGTAGATTACTAACTGATTGCAGGCCCTCTTTCATGCTTGGGAGTATCTCATTCTCGAACTCAGCAGTTGCTTGTTGCCAAAGAGCGGCATCATTTCGAGGCAAATGATTCAAGTGGCAGAGCAGTGCCTGGAGGCCAACCAAAGACCTTCAGCTCCGGACCACATCTTTGTCCGACTTGCCGAGTCGAGAGCTAACTTGACCCTGACGCTGCTGAAGCGTTTGGCTGATTGCTCACAGCTACCCAAGGACTTTACCCAGCTCTTGACTCTGGTTGCCACAACCATCAATGTGGTCGACAACCCTTTTGCCACAGAAAACATTACCTACTTCCGCACACTCCTGAGGATACTCTTCGTCACGCTCCGCGGAACCAAGCTCTCTTCCAATGCACCCGCTCCCGCAAAGGCGGGCCCCGAGACCTCGGTAGCGGCCACGCAGTTGGTGATCACCATTCTCGACCGTGTAGTGGCTCAGTCTTTCCGTGCATTGGCTGGTCTTGTCCACGAGCCTGGCTCCCCTACTGAGCCTGACGACATGGCTTTGGTGACTGGCATCCTCCAGGCTTGTCTCGCCGTCCCCGGCCTCGACCAATGCCAGGGGCAGATCATCACCATCATGTCCAACCACAACATCTTCCAAGTCGCCACCTCACTGTTCAGCTGGTCCGACAAGCTCGTCGGTCGCAACGGTGACCCAGTCTACGGCGAGATCTCCTTGCTGTTCCTCCTCGAACTCTCGTCCCTCCCCCAGATCGCCGAACAGCTTGCCGTCAACGGCATCCTGGGTCACATCACCTCGGCCAACATTGCCGGCTTCCTCCGCAGGAAGAACATCACCCCCTTTACGGAATCCGTCAACAAGATGCGCTGCTACTCGATCTGGTCTCGTGCCCTCCTGCCAATGCTAATCAACATCCTCGGCGCCTTGGGTCCTACCATCGCGCCCGAGGTAGCCTTTGTGTTGAACCAGTTCCCGAACTTGCTTGAATCCTCTATCGAGAGGCTCGCAGCCCCGGGAATGGACAGAACAATCCCCACCATGTCCTTTGGCTCAGAAGACAGCACCAGAACCCATCCTTTTTACATTACCCTGGCGACGATGAACGAGATTCACTCTCTGAGTCTGCTGGCGAAGGTGTTGGGGGCGTTGAGGGAGAACAACACGAGGGATATACCCGAGGTGACGGGGTGGGACTCGGGAAAGGTGCTGGAGCATGTCGAGTTTTGGCTGCAGAGTAGAAAGGTGCTGAGGGAGAGGTTGCTGCCGCTGACGGAGAGGGAGAGGGAGTGGTGGGGGATGAAGACCAGGGAGGGCGCAGGGGGGGGGGATTGTCAGACTGTGCTGGAGGAGAAGGTTGTTGGGGTTTTGGAGGGGGTGAGGGATGTTTTGATGGCTGGGGAGGAGGGGGAGGAGTAAGATTGGGATGATGAGGGTGGAGGGGGGATGTTGGATGGAAATTAGGTTGAGTAAAAAAGGGGGTGGGATGATGGTTTTGTAGGAGTTGATATCATCATGGTTGTTTTGGTGTTTGTTTTCATTAGGGTCGGGGTTGGGCGTCTTTGATGTTTTTGGGTGATTTGATAAGGAGAGAGAAAGTGGATAAGTGTAATTGAGCGAGAGAAGGAAGAAATTTTTTTTTCTGTTTCAGGATTCGTGATGATGATTGATTACTGTGACCACCTTGGATGTTTTTAGCTTTTCGCCTTGTCCGTTTTTAAAGCGTGTTTGGCCGCTGCAGTTGACGGCAGAATCAATGGCAAATTAAAATTTTTTACAGTCTTGAATCTGGTAGTTTTCAGTTCAACGCTTTGTTAGTTTTCAGTTTTCCCTTTCTCCTGAAGGGGGGCACATGTTGTCGGTCCTTTAGACTTTTGGTGAGAATTGATAGCCAACAATAGACACTCCAAGTGTTCAAGACATTTTTTTCAAGAAAAAACCATGCAGATTCTCAAAGGGCAACTACCCCTTTATAAATCTCATGTCTAGTAATAATCCAGGGGGGAAAAGCCCATTCCCTGTACCATTTACACCACTTGCTCTCAACAACATGTTGTGTTGTCTATTTATTATCTGCATTCACATATATTTATGAATTTCTCATATGTCTCACATGTTTTGATAGTTTCCCATTCTCTTAGCATAAGGGTATGCCTATTTGCTTCCTCCTCTCCCTTCTTCTCTCCTCAACTCGACCCAACCACACAAAAACACAACAGGAGATATGCAAATAATAAAAACCCCACAAGGAGTCACCAGAACAAGACCAAGAAAAAAAAGCAATGTGATAAAACACTGCTAATACTGCTCCCCATTCCGTTTCCTTACAGTAATAACCAAGAGAGGAGAGAAAAAAAAGATCCCCATTTCCCCGCTAAACCCCTCCGTTTCCTTTCCCGTTTGTTGCCCCCATAAAAGATTGATAACAATAATATCTACGCCCCGAACCAAAACCAAAAAGAGAAAAATTGTTTAAAATAGGCCACCTCCCGTGCCATGGGTCCGAATACAAGAAAGGTCCGAAACCAAAAAAAAAGACAAAGAAGAGGCAAAAAGAAAAAGAAAAACGCGCTGGTCTGTCCCCAAGCGCCCTCAAATTCTGAGGCATGAAATGCATAGGCTTGATTCCGGCTTCATCAAGAACGAACAGCCATGCTAACCGCGCCATATATGCCCACTGGAAAAAAAGTATAAATATCGACGAAATAATCAGCGGTCAAACTCCGTTATAATGTATGATGTGCCAAACCATAAACACGAATTTGCACAAGGAAAATAGTCCCTGAAGCGATCGTCAGGCCTTCGAGGCCCTGACAAGGCCGGCAAGACCGTTAGCCGCGGGGCTCAAGTGTGTAGTAGCAGCCTGTATAGGTGTCGTTTGTTCGTTAATCGTCAGCTTTGGGATCGTCAGACGTTCAGACCGGGACACTGCGTGGTGCCATCTCGCCGCTACGACGTCTGACAGAAATTATGTCCTGTTGCTGCTGCTGTTGAGCTCGAGAGATGGCAAGCATCTTCTTCTGGAGGTTTGCGAGACGTGCTTTAACCATCTGGATCACTGTCAAGCTGTTAGTACGGTAACCAATACAAAGGAGGTAAATCTGCTCACTCTTCTGAATAGACTGCTTGTCCTCGCTGCTCATCTCGGAGGTGTCCTCGCGGACAGCAGCTTCAGCCTTTTCGTCCCTAGACGAGGTTGATATCCTGCGCTTGGGAAGATGGTCGTCATCGCTATCCAAGACAGCCTCGAGCATGCGAATCGCAGTCGAATAGAATATCTCGCAGCCGGGGAGGTCTTCGCTCGCAATCTCGTTGATGGCTGCAGTTCTACTCATCTCAACGGCGCGGTCGTACATGAGCTTCTCGGCGCTGATACCTGGCGAAAGGATGACTCCTTCGGCACCCGTCACCGAGCTGACCTCGGTTTGATGATTGCTGGGGTGGCTGGGGTGATCTTCGGGAAGCTGCTTTTGAGCCTCGATGAGTTTTAACCGCACAATCTCAGCCTTCTCCAAGACCTCGTTGAACCGGGACCGGATCCACTGGACCACCCTATTGATCTTCAGTGCCAACGCCTGGCTGTTAACCGAGTCGCGAGCGGCTGAGTGGATGCTGTTGCTGTTGTCCGACCTGCTCTTGCGTGTCCACCATAGGCTAGCAATGTCCATGGATTTGGCAAGAAGAGACAGCGCCTTGACGTACAATACCAGGGCCTCTTCTGATAGAGAGACTGTTGCCTCGAGGGTGAGGCCATCTTCTTCCTCCATCTTGTCGGCAGGAACGCCGCCAAGGCCATAATCCATGGAAGGGGCCAATGGAACAAGTTGCTTGTACTTGACCTCGGCAAAGCCATAGACCACATCGCTTCGGGTGGCCCAATCCTCAATGCACTGGGCCACGCGGGAATCCTCGTCCACCGGCGTGGTGTGCTTCCCATCCGAGATCAGCCCGGCCGGTGCAGAGGGCGTCGGGTATGCCGGGAAAGGGCTGTAGATCTGGGGCGGAGACTGGCCCTTGCTGAGCAGATGAGGCGCCACGTTGAACCCAAAAAGCCGAAGACTGGCGTCCTGAATTGCCTTGGAGATGGCAGAAGTTGTCGAGCCGGGGCTGCTAGAGAGTGGCTTGTCATATGACCCTTGTCGAAGGTGGTTGTTTCGGGCGGAAACAGCACCAGTCGTTGATGTTGGGTGCCCTTGCTGGGTAGCGCGCCGAACAATCTGACCCGACTTGGGGACCGATTGCGGGTACATGGAGATTTGGTCAGCCAGTGCATTGACCTCCACGCCCTTCTTGTCGATGAAGATGTAGTCACGCTCCAAAGCAACATCCTGAGCAGCCTTCTCCTCCTCTGTCAGGGGCTTGGTCGGCCTGCTCTTTGGTCGAGGTTGCGATGCAAGGGTTTGTGAAGGGTCCGGCACGATGGATTCTCGTGGTGGTCTCTGCGAGGCGGTCGAGTTTGCTCGAGAGCGGTCCACGTACATGACGGGGCGGGCTGGCGCTGAAGTAGATGGCTGAACAGCTGGCCGGCGGGTAATTCCCAACCCATCTCCAGCAGGCGAGTAGCTCAAGCCAGCACGAGGACCTGGCACTTGCTCCAGTGGGTTCGGTTTCTCGATCGGTGTCGCCAGTGGCGATGATGGCCGAGGCCTGGGGGAGGACAGAACGCCTGTGGCCGCTTTGCCACGCTGGGAATCCCGACGTGATAGAGACAGTGACCCTTCGGGCCGCACTGTCTCCTTCACCTGCTGTGGTTCCGGCTTCGGGAGGTCATCCTCGTGGAGATTGGGGATGGGCCCTGTGATGACGGTGTGGTTGAAAAAGTCGGCGAAGCTGATCCGTTCCACGGGATTCCGCTTCAGGAGAGCTCGGACGAGGCTCTTCAACTCCGGACTGACCACGCTCTCGCGAGGAAACTTGACCTGGTCCTCAGCAGCTTCTATCTTCCTAAGCAGCTCCACATGATTCCCGGCCCTAAAGGGAGGTCTCCCTGTCGCCATCTCATACAGAACGGTGCCCACCGACCACAGATCCGCTTTGGCATCGTACCGTTCATACCGGAGAATCTCAGGGGCCATGTAGAGCGGTGACCCACACAGCGTCTCAGCGAGTGACGTCGAGGGCAACACGCGAGCAAAGCCGAAGTCGGCAAGCTTGAGCATAGGCAGCGACGGAAGTCCTGCTGCTGGCATCAGCGAGTCGTAACTAGCACTCAAGATTTGCTTGGCCGAATGGTGAGTTTCCCGAAAGAGCGGCGACGGCAGCAGCAGCAGGTTCTGTGGTTTGACATCTCGGTGAACAAAGTTTCCTTCCCTCAAAAACTTGAGCGCACTTGCGAGCTGCTTGAGGAAATGGCGGGTGATAACCTCGTGCAAACCTTGGTTGTGCTCAATGGGATACCTGCGGGCAATATCACGGGTAGCCGAGTGTGTGATCAGCTTCTCCCGCTTCTTAATAAATAACGACAGATCACCAAGCTCGCAGTATTCCATAATCAAGTTGATGTGCGTGGCCGACTCGACACAGTCATGAAGGGCAACGATATGTGGGTGGCGCAACGTCTTGAGGATCTTGATTTCGCCGTACAGGTTTTCCTTTAGTTTCTTGTTCAAGCGACTGAGCTCTACGGACTTGATGGCGACCAGGGCGCCCGTGACCTATCGTAGGGGACCATGTTAGCGGATTCGGCGCAACCGAGACGATGAGATTAAAGACACGTCCAACTCCCACTCCACCTGATCTGGCAGCACCGCACGCCATCCGATAGGCAACTCGCTGTCTTTCTTCCCGGCGGGGTCACTGGCGCAAAAGAAATGGGGAGTTCGAACCTTGTGCCGGCCAGAGTAGACCTGGGCGAAGCTACCCTTTCCAATCTCCTTGTCGATGACGAACTGCCCGACGGCACCATCGGTTGGCTGTTTTTGCCGCCTCGACGACGAGGCGGACGATAACTGTCTGTCGGCCATGGCTACCTGCTGATGTTGGCAAGCACGGGGGAGCTGGCTTGAAATGAAAAAGAGAGCCCGAGGGCCTATGCTATGCGAAAGACGTGGGCGGGAGGCTCGATCGACATGTATACTTCGTGGGTCTCGGTGGACAGCTATGGATGTGGCCAAGGGTGACAAAGCTGATATGCACGGCGCTCGAAGGTGAAAGAGGGGAAGGGTGAGGCAGAAGCCAAGGGTAGTGTTGCCTATAGGACAGCGCAGGACTGGAGGACGAGAGAGACCGAAAGGTAGATATCCGATAGGTCGGGTGGTGTAGGAAAGTGGAAGCGGCTCCAAAAGCTGAGGGAGGAGAGAATGGGCAGAGTTTCTTTTGTGGGTACGAAGACACGCGGGGACGCAACAGCCACTATACTGGGTGTCTTGAAGCTTGTTGGTGATGCAAAGGTTGATGGGTGATGGGTGCCCCGATAGGAAGGGTGGCGGATAGAGTGGGTGACTGATTACAGCAGCTACTTGTTGAAAGCGAGGAGCCGGCTCGGTCGACGGACACAGCAGAGTTGGTGGTTAGCGGCGGTGGTCCCAGGCTTTCTAGTCTGGGGTAACGGTGGTCCGGCGGTTGCGACGGTGAGGAGAGACCGAGAGAGTGTGTGAGAGAGAGAGAGAGAGACTGGAGGAGTGGCACGGAGAAGAGCAGTGGTGAATGGTGATGGTAGATCGGGGATAGGCTACTACTACTGCGCCTGGGAGTTTATCGCTATCAGTAGGGTCAGGCTGGGGGAAGCTAGCTCCACCGCGGCACGCTGACGTCCAAAGTCAACTGAATGACTCAGACTCGATCGACTGCAGGATCCAGAGCTCGATTTCCCCAGGTTTCGCAACAATAGAAGGGGCGGGCTAGAGTACAGAGCGCAGAGGGCGAGGGCACAAAGGGAGGAGGAAGATGAAAGACGGGCGGTGTTGGGAGAAACAGCAGAAAAAGAGCAGGAACCTGGGAGAGACCTGTGAATGAACGAGAGGGTGACGACGATACGGACACAGCAGATGGAGCCAGGCCTCTTCTGTTACTGGGGGTGCTGCAGCGGCAGAAAAGCAGGGGTTTTGCTGTGAATGCTGCTCGTGATGCTTCAAAGTAGTTCGAGGTATCGATGCACTGGCCACCAGCCGTCAGGGTACGTTGCAGGTACCTCAAGTCTGTTACGTCGAGAGAGAGACCGGAGGCCACGGCCTGTCTCCCGTGACTGGACCCAAAACGGCATTTGGGACGATAAGCCCCGCGATAACAGCACAGTGTTCACAGTGTTTGGAGCTCTGTAACCTTGACGAACACCTGAACCCAGACACAAGCTAGAACAAGCCAGAACCGCCATCTGCATCATTTACCGCTGGTCTTGCGTCTTGCGCCTTCGGAGGCCATCCTGATGAGCTAAGCACGTTTGCGCCCTCAAAATGGCGAGATGACTGACCAACACAAGATACAACAGCGAGCTCGCCCTTCTTCCCCCATGTGTGGTCCAGATGAAACAACCGGTTCTCTTCTCTCGTTCAATACAACGGACTCGCACTTACAAGACAGCCCGTCATGATGAATCGACCAACCGGGAGTCGAGGGGCTGCTCCACCTCCACAGTGGAGTCACAGACAGACAGCCAGACAAGACACCCGCACAGTCACCGGCTGCCCCCCACCCATAATGTACACCACCTCTCACCTGCATCGGGGGGTGCATCGATGTCCATGCTGGTGAGCCGTTCCCTTGCTGCTGTCATGGTCATACAAGCTTCTTATTTTCAAGGAGAAACACAAACCAGGCGGAGCCGGGGCACACATCCGATCGACATGGACACTGGACACAGAAGGGCGGCCACCCAAACGAGCCACGGAGGAATGGCACGGCGGTATCGTCAGGTGGTCAATACGCCCGCGCCGTCGACGCACCACGGCCAGGAACGATTACCAAAGAGGTTCCAAGCTTGTTCCATGCTCCAATGCTCCAGCAGCCCAGCTCCATCAGCTCCAGCAGCATCGGACATCTGGACACAGCTCCGCCATCTCTAGTAAACTTCTGCTTCTAGCGCCTTTCCACGCCGGTCTTTGGCTTTTGCTCAATACTCCGTACCACAGGTTGTCCGAAAAGCCGGTGGCTGCCCGTTCTATGGTTCCAGCCAAAAACACGGGCGGATGGCGCATGCAGCAACCAGGCCTGCCGGAAGTTTGTCTCATTTACACAGCAGCCTCCGAGAGTGAGGCTGTCGAACGAACAGTTTATCGGACAGGGCAGGGGGGCCGGGGGGCCGGGGGGCCTGCCTTATCCCTAATCGGTGTTGTCGGTGGGACTCTTAGCACAGCCATCCATCTTCCCGCCCTTTCGCCCTTTCGTGTCCGACCTCCTCCTCTTGACATCTTCCACATGTTAATGTGTGTGAGCATGGCGTCTTCCGGTTGGCCGCTGCATGTGTTTGTCCAGAACTCCAGCAACTGCCTGCCACCGCACGCGTGCTGTTTGAAGCTTGCTCACTGGTCAATCCCAAGAATCCGTGCACTGAGCCAAGTCTGAGGACAGAAAGAAGATGACTCTGTCATATGCACCTCCGGACGCCTATTGTTATTACTATTGACACCTTTTTATCAGGTGTGCTGGTCATCGGATACAATGGGATACAACTTGCGAAACAATGTCTATTTGTTCCCCCATATCAGGGCCCTTCTCTTCACCAGCGTCATATTTCCTCAATCCGTCGATCGATTATCAAAAGGGGGCACAATCGTGTTGCTTGTCCTTGTTTTTCTTTTTTTGGTTTTTTTTTTTTGGTGGTGGGCCACCCCCCCGCACTCTTGTTCAAGGCACAGGGACTGCCGGCCTTGGAAAACAGCTGCCAAATGTCTTGTCCTTTGGCTTGTGTTTTGTAGTGGTGTGGTGGTGGTGGTGGTGATCCGGCAAGTCCCAAAGAGGAAGGGTAACACAGCTGTAAGCCACTCAGGGCATTTTTTCCCTCCCACACATGTCGACCCCTATCCGCAGGCCTGCATCTCGCTAGCCCAGATCTCGTGCACATTCCCGGATCCGACTCTACATACAGACAGATACACACTGCTACCTCTCAATCTAGACAAGATAGCGTTTGATAATGGGGGGGGGGGAGTGTTCATCCGACGGATCATCGACCTCGCACACAGACATCGGAGTTAGATTGTTCGATAAGGTAGCTTAAGGCCGACAAGTCGATCCGTTGTTGAGTTTGATCTATCAACTACCCATCCGCCCACCCACGAAAGATGGTGGTTGGGCGGATGGATGGGATGGTTATGTACGTAGACAACGCACGGTAGGACTGTAACCTCTCACGTGCCTGCCGCTGGTCTTAATTGAAACAAATCCAAACGGGAAATATATCACTCGAATGACACAATGACACACACACACACACACAACTGCTCCGCCATCATCATCGTTTACCCAGCAAACGATGATGATGGCGGACGGAGGGTTATTCATTGGCTACCACTAAAAGCTAAAAAGGGCACACCCAGCTTTTGGAAAAAAATACGGACACTGTGTGTGATTTAGCAGCAACAGAGACTCAATGGTGGTGTCAGAGAGTGTGTGTACCCGTACCCGTTGGATAAAAGGACATGTAGGTAGTGTGGTGGTTGGGGAGGAGGGAAGCCTAAAAGGCAGCAGCAGCAGCAGCAGTAGCGGGTAGGTGTAGGTATGCATGGATCTTGAACTTACACGACAGGACAACACAACAGCTAGACCGTGGGGATTGGACAATTGCTGGGTTCTGCCTTGTGAGAGAAAACAACTCATAACTGATGTGGACCCCTGGGGTAAGTAACACATCGCCTATAATTTGACCCAGTAGAGGTTCAGTCCCCTCAACTGTTCTGTTACACTGCTTGTTATGCTATCCCCTGAATAGCAAAAACCAACTCGCAGCTTTTACAATTGGAAATTGACATGTCAGAAAGTTGCCCTGACCGACGACTGTATAGCGTTAAGTTACACAATATCTACCTGCGGACCTCCATCGAGGATTCGTCACCAGAACCCGTGACAGGAACAGGAATACCCCATAATAGCTCGTCTCATCAGGGTGCTGAAGTATCATGCACATAGATTCAACTGGAGTGTACCCTGTCTCTTGTCTAGGTAGACACTCTCCCCCACTCTTACTTTCAGCCTCACCCACTCAACCCGGGCGTAGAGAGCACCTACAAATGGAACTTGTCACATCACTTTCCCCTTAGCCAAACATCTATATGCAACAGATCGAATGAACAACTCATCACTCACCACTCACCGGCCGAAAAGATACCGGTTCCAGGAAATTATTTCCGGTCAAGACACTGGCAAATCATCCAACACATTTCCACTTCACCACACACACACACACACACACACACACACACACACACACACACACACACACACACACACACACACACACACACACACACACATACACACATACACACACACACAACAAATCAATCCAACTGATCCTACTAGGCAGGGACTTGATAATATTCTGGTACTTCTCTGCCCAAATATCCATCCATCCAATCAAACCCCCTCTGGACTTCATGTCAAGTCTAGCCCAGCCCAGCCCAGCCCAGCCCAGCCCGGCCCAGTCCAATCTCCTTGATGCAAACATCTCGGTATCATTTCCATGCATATACTACCATAAGAGCCAAACTCTGCTGTTTTACCCAATCTAAATAATGCTTACAGTGGTATCAAAACATCCAAAAAGGAAACCCCATTGAAAAAAGGATGTGTCATGATCCCGGGGAACATATTCCGGTTCCCCCTGACTTCTTCACCTGCCCGCATTTTGCCCCAGCAAATCGGGTGGTCTTCCTTCGGGCCGTCCCCGGTTCCCCCCTCCCGCAAGATCCTTCCCCGGATTTTTCTGAAAAGCGATGTCTGTGGTGGTGGTGAGCGGCGAGTGACTCATGATCATGGTGCGCTGATATGATAATCAGTGCGCCTCGTGCTTGGTGGCATTTGGCAACTCCTCCAGCGCCTCCTTGATGGTCTTGAGGGCGCTTCTGAGTTCATCTTCGGTGATGACCAGCGGTGGTGCGAAGCGAATGATGTTGCCGTGGGTCGGTTTGGCCTGTTCAGCATGGTGGTGAGTTATCATTGTCGGGAACGGAAAAGGAAAGGGAGGCGAAAAAAAGACATACCAAAACACCCTTCTCCTTCAACAACATGCACAAATCCCACGCCGTCCTCCCATTCGTCTCGCTCTCATCAATCACCACCGCGTTCAACAACCCCCTCCCCCTCACCAGCTCCACAATCTTGCTGTTGAACCCTCTGATCTCGCTCCTGAAAATCTCCCCCAGCTTCTGGGCCTTGTCGACCAAGCCTTCCTCTTCGACCAGCTCCAAAGCCTTGATACTAACCGCGCACCCAAGCGGGTTTCCACCGTACGTGCTCCCGTGAGTGCCAGGCTCAATAACCCCCATAATCTCCTTCGAGCTCAAAACACAACTGACAGGGTACATCCCCCCGCTGATCGCCTTCCCCAACGTCACCACATCCGGCTTGATCCCATCCCACTCGCTGCACAGCATCCTTCCAGTCCTCGCAATCCCCGTCTGGATCTCGTCGCAAATCAAAAGCACATTATACTCCCTGCACAGCTCCTGAACTCTTTTGAGATACCCATCCTCCGGCACCACCACCCCGGCCTCACCCTGAATGGGCTCAATGATAAACGCCGCCGTCTCCTTCCCAAACTCCCCAAGTATCTCCTCCACATCCTCCACACTCCCATACCTAATCGCCTTCCCCGTGCTCGGGTGTCTCGCCCCAATGAGCGGTACATACGGCCCATGATTATCCCTACTCTCCGGATCAACACTCAGACTCACCGCCACCATCGTCCTCCCGTGAAAGTTCCCATCCACACTCCACACCCTCGCCTTCCCTTGCTCCACCCCCTTGACCTTGTACGCCCATTTTCTTGCCAGTTTGATGGCCGTCTCGACCGCCTCGGCGCCCGTGTTCATGGGCAGGACCATCTCGTACCCAAACACGTCCCTGACCTTCTTGGCCCATTGGGGAAAGACGTCGTTGTGGAAGGCGCGGGAGGAGAGGGTGAGGCGGGCGGCTTGGTCGGTGAGGGCTTTGACGAGGGCGGGGTGGCAGTGACCTTGGTTGACGGCGCTGTAGGCGGAGAGGAAGTCGAGGTAGTGGCGCCCTTCGGGGTCCCAGACGTGGCAGCCCGAGGCGCGGGCGAAGACGATGGGGAGGGGGGAGTAGTTGTGGGCTGCGTAGGTGTTTTCTGTTGTGATGGCTGTTGTGGTGGAGGAGGCGTGGTAGGGGTCGGTTGGTTTGGTGGTGGTGGAGGAGGAGGAGGAGGAGGGGGGAGTGTCGTTGGAGGAGGGGGGAGTGTCGTTGGAGGAGGAGGAGGAGGAGGAGGAGGCGTGAGGGGCCATGGTTGGAATTGTTCGTGGTATTTGGAGTTGGGTGAATTGGTTGTTGAATTGGCGGTTGTTCAAAGGTAGGCAAGATATGACGGTAGATGGGAAGACAGACAGACAGACAAAGTAGTAGGTAAGAAGGTAAGTTTGCCCGCTGGGAGGAGATTAAATCAGCGGTGTAAGAACAAACAAAGTGTTGTCAAAACTACGCCACCTTTATGAAATTCCAACAAAACCTTGGATGGCCAATTGGTACTAATGTATGTAGATCCCAAGCAGAAGAAGGCAATGGGAAAACAAAGAAAACAATCGCAGAGGAAAAAGAGGGGAATATATATAAACCCGCCTCACCCTGCCTCTCCCTACCTTCACCCTCCCAAACCTACACTACCTCCGCTTCGGAAGGTGTTTGCCGTTGCAATCATGCAATTCCACCGAACGACACTATACCTCTAAGTGCAAGTCAGATAGTCCCAAGACGCTCACAACATCTCACGTGGGCCCAGCATCCTTGGACAGTCCCGCAAAAAGCATGCCGAAGGAAACCGCTTTTATGACGAAAGGTCTTGTAACCTTCCTTTAAAAGTGTGACAGGTCCGGGGTCTTTCAGCTCATGAAACTAGGGGTGTGGCCTGTCATGGAAGTGGCGATATTATTCATACAAACTGGAAGCTTAAAACTTGATAGGCACTCAGACACAATACATTCCCGATACCGGATATCTTTCAGAATCAAAGATAGATAGATAGATAGAAGGTGTCATCCATCCATTGCTGCGATGCTGTGGTTCCAGCGGGGGAGGGGCGCGCGGTGGGAAATGCAGGGATCTCTTGAGCTTTCATCCAATTGTGGGTCACTTGATTACCGCAGCAAGCTCGGTAGGGCTGCGGGGGAACCAATCAGCTGCAGGGGTGCTCCGTGTCAGAGCTGCCAGATGGCAAGCAGCTCTGTCTGTCTGACCGACAGTTGACGCGACTTTGGATGAGATTAGGTGCGGCCCCCGAACTTCGTCGAGAACTACACTTGACGAGTCGTGTTTGATGGTCAAGATGGAGAAAGATACTGTCAAGAAACCCCCAGGGCCGAGAATAGAAAAGCCAGCCGAGAAAGATGGCAGGGTGCACGCGCAGGTCGCGGCTGCTCAAGTCCGGGATATTCTCAGTGTGTTGCTGGCATTTCGGTTCATCAACTCTCTTTTTGTCAAGACATTCTTTCAACCAGATGAATATTTCCAGGCCTTGGAGCCGGCGTGGAGGATGGCTTTTGGGGAAGGCAGTGGTGCTTGGATGACTTGGGTATTTTCTCTCATTGGATTTGATGAGAACCATGTGCTGACTGATATGGTCAGGAATGGGAATATCAACTGCGGTCTTCACTTCACCCAGCCGTATTTGGCGCCGCGTACAAGCTTGCCGAGACTGTCATGAGTGCCATGCATTTGTTTCCACCCTTCATCGCTTCCATGTTGGTGGTTTTGCCAGGGGCTTTGCAGTCTGTGTTTGCTGCCTTGGGAGACTTTTACACGTGGAAGCTGGCCATGGATGTCTATGGGAGGGAGAGTTATGCTCCTTGGGCTGCTGTAAGCATCCCGACTCATCTGAACTACCGGGGTGTATCTAACGATGAATGTAGTTGTGGATGACCGTTCTCAATCCCTGGCAGTGGTACTGCTCAACAAGAACATTTTCCAACTCTCTCGAGACAACCCTCACCATTGCTGCTCTTTCCTACTGGCCTTGGGAGCTCCTTGCAGATGCCAAGGAAACCAAAGAGCGCCTGAAGCAAAAAGGGAGACTCAACAGCTTGAGAACATCCCTCTTCCTAGCAGCCATCGCCGTCCTCCTTCGCCCAACAAACCTCTTCATCTGGCTCGGCATCATCGCCCTGACCCTCACCCGCCTCACTCTCGACGGTCAGTCCCCCATCACACAAACCACCTTCCCTGCCCTCCTCAGAGAAACCGTCCTCTGTGGTTCCGTTGCCCTCGCCATCTCGGTCGTCTCTGACCGCCTCTACTTTGGCTTTTGGACCTTCCCTCCTTACAAATGGCTCTACTTCAACATGTCCCAGTCCCTCGCCGTCTTTTACGGCCGGATGCCCTGGCACTATTACCTCTCCCAGGGCATTCCTCTCCTCACCACCACCTTCCTCCCCTTTGCCCTGCTGAGCATCTACAAAGCCACCCTCACCTCCGCCAAACCCACCACCCTCCTCTCTGCCCGTCCAACATCCCTCTCCACCACCTCATCCAACACCCTCAAGACTTTGTCTTTTGCCCTCATAGGCATGATCACCATCCTCTCCCTAATCTCCCACAAAGAAGTCCGCTTCATCTACCCCCTCCTCCCCATCCTGCACATCCTCGCAGCACCCTACGTAACCAGCTTCTTCACCACCCCTCCCACCACCCCATCCAAATCTTTGGTGCTGCGCCACAAAATCTTCCTCGCCAACATCCTCTCCATCAACCTCCTCCTCGCGGGGTATCTCTCCCTCTTCCACCAGCCCGCGCCCATCTCTGTCCTTTCCTTCTTGAGAAGTGAATACGAGCGCCTCCACCCTGACTCCCTTTCTTTGAGTGCTCCCCCACAGGAACAAAAGGAATTATTCGCCCTGTTCCTCACCCCCTGTCACACGACACCGTGGAGGTCGCATCTTGTCTGGCCGGGGCTGAGGGCTAGGGCGTTGACCTGTGAGCCGCCGTTGCATACTGCTCCGGGGACGCCTGAACGGGAAAACTATCTTGACGAGGCGGATAGGTTTTACGCGGAGGATGCGGAGACGGGGAAGTATGGGGGGGTGTTTCTGAGGCGGGAGATGTGGCCGCAGTTTTTTGATGGGGGTGACGGGAGAAAAGGGGAGGAGATACCGAGGTTTGTGGTTGGTTTTGAGGGGATTGAGGGGGTGTTGGGGGAGTTTTTTGGGGGTGAGGGAGAAAAGATGGGGGTGAAGATGAAAAAGGTTTGGGAGGGGTGGAATGGGCTTGTTAATGAGGATTGGAGGAGGGGTGGGAGGTTGGTTGTTTGGGACACGGGGGTTTATCCTGATGGCGGTGGGGAGGTGGCGGATGGGGGAAGTAAAGATGAGTTGTGATGGAACGGGAGTAGAATGTATGTATGTTATGGTGGGAATTGCTGTTTATTTCTTTCCTCTGTGGTGGATTTGATTTTGTCAAAACCCACGCTGAATTTGTAGAATATGTGGAACGGGCTCTAGATACCTTCTTGACTTGCCAGGTGCTCACCAGATTGTTTGAGATATCGTCCTTCTTTTGAAAGCCCTCTCGCAGTCTATTTCAACCTCGACAAGCAGTGAGCTCTACTCTACAAGCTTCCTGCGTCTCCCTCCTACTCAGGCTCCCTCCCGTGATGCAAAACAGAACACCAGATACTCGCCAAACAAGGCCGCCATTCCGTGAAACAATCAACCCCTAATCCAGCAAACAATCCGAGGCAGCCCACAAGCTCGCTTCCCTGACCTAACCTCGCACAGAGCCGCACACCCGGAGTCAACACCCTGCCTTCTGGTGCCACCCGTCACCACGTCACTGCCACCACTGGAATGCCATGACGTTTGTTGAAGGCGGCTGTTCTGTCAAAATGCGCCTTCCACATCTGCCATCCGAACTCGGACGATTCGCCCGCCTGGCCGTTCGAGAGAATCAACTATTCAGCTTCTAGATGTCCACCAAACAAAGGCTACCGAGCAGCACACCATACCACCCTTCCACTCTCTCTTACCCAGCCACCAACCACGCACACACAACCGCCATCACAGCTAACATGTCTCCCCTCTCCAAACTCGCCATCTTCCTCCTCGGTCTCTTCCTTATGACCACCCAAGCAAACCCCCTGGACGCCCACCCCAAACCACGGCGTTCCATCGGCGGCGTAAGTCCCCTCTCTTCCTTTCCCATCATCACCCCCTCATAGCTGATTTGGTCCAGGTCCTAATCTGCACCAACCCCAACGCCACCGGCGTCTGCACCCACGAAACCTACCAACTCAACAGGTGCTACAACCTCCCCGACGGTCTTCGGAACAACGCCGCCACCTTTGCGCCAGACCCCGGTAATTTCTTTTGTTATCCTTACCTGTGAGTCTCTTTTTACTTTATTTATTTATTTATTTATTTAAATGAGGCAGGATATATGTTGACAAGAATATAGCAAGGTCTGCGGCGGCATTTGCACCTCACCTGAGGGTTGCACCATGGGACCTGTCGACTCTGACTATCCCCACCGGTACAACCTCACGGCCGTGAGCTGGGACCGGTTTATTACTTCGTTTGATTGTCTTTTGAAGTGATCTGAGAAGGGGGGCTGTCGTTGGCTGGGTTACGAACCTGTCGCAGGAAGAGAGGCTTCTTTCTTGTCAATCACAAGCTGTATTGGTAGTCAGACGCAATCCTCACAGCATCAATACGCAGAAGAGCAAACAGCAGAATAGATCACTGTTTTGATAATCAAAAGTGTACAAATCCCGAATAACCCCATCATAGCTTGCTATGAATTTGAACCTGCCTGCCTGCTTTCAAAATACAATACATAACCCCTCCCACCCTTTTTCTCCCCCTCAAAGCAACCCAAGATGCCTTGCCGCATGCTCAACATGCTCCCCACTAAAACTCGCCATAAAGTAATAGCTGTGATCATAGCCCTCATGATACCTCACCTTCAACCCCTCCAACCCCATCTCCTTGACCACCGCCTCCAGATTCTCGGGAAGCAGCTGCCCATTCTTGTAGAAATTGTCCCCGGTGCCAACATCGACGAGGGCCTTGAGGTCACCCCCCTTCCAAATCCCCGATCTCAATAACTCGACAGCGTCGTGCTTCTTGCCTTCCTCGAGTCCACCGGCTAGGTACCCCTTGAACGCCTTTTCCCCCCAGGGACACTTTGTCGGGTTTGCAATCGGGGCGAAGGCACTGACAGATTTGTATTTGTCTTGGTGCTTGAGGTAGAGGGTTAACGCCCCGTGTCCGCCCATGCTGTGACCCGTGATGGAGACTCGTTCCTTATCAAGGTAGGGACCGAGCTGGGGGGAGGAAAAGAGGACGGAGGGGAGTTCGGTGGTGATGTAAGTTTCCATCTTATAGTTTTCCTTCCAGGGATCGGCAGTGGCGTCAAGGTAGAAGGATGCCGCCTCGCCAAAGTCCCAGGAGTCGGATTGCCCCGGGATGGAGAGGCCGCGGGGGGAGGTGTCGGGGTAGACGAGGGCTAGGCCGAGCTGGGAGGCGCGGTGTTGGAAGAAGCCTTTTTCCGTGCAGTTTTCCGGGGAGCAGGTCAGACCCGAGAGGTAGATTAACACGGGGGCGGGGGTGGTTTTGGAGAGGGCGGAGGGGGGGATGAAGAGGTTTAGGGACATGGGGGTTGAGGTTGTGGTGGAGGGGTGAGTGAGCTTGTAGAGCTTGCCGTTGAAGGTGGTGATTTCGGCTTTGATTTCGAGGGCCATTTTGACGGTGGTGGTGAAGGAACGGGTGGTGGTGTGAGTAAGTTGGGGGATTTGCCGAGTGAGTTGACGACGGGTGAGAGTCGAGATGAGGGACATGAGAGTTGTTATTAAAGACCGCTATGGAGATAAGTTTTGGTCAATAAACCCCCCCTTTATCAGCTGCTACCCCGCCCTTGTTATTCCCCAGTTTGACTTTCGTCATGGTAATTGCTGTTAAGCAAGAGACGTAAATGGGTGACAGGAGAAACCCCACCTTTATCGACTGCCGACGAGGGGTAAAAGACGAGAGGGTGGAACACACTTTTGCCATGCGGTGCCATGCGTGTGCCATGCCGTCATTGCAAGCCAAGCTCTCTTGTGGGAACAAAACAGATCCCGAATGCCGAATCATAGCCAGCCACCTTTGGGGCTCTGCAAGACATGCACCTCTAGCAACGATTCCAACTGTATAGTCTGACAAGATAAAGCCCAGGGAGGGGGCTTCATCATGATAACTTCCTTAACATCTCCAACAATCGTATCATTTCAAACCTCTTGAAACCAACCCCCTAGTTACAATGCCCTTATATCACCCTTCTCCCAGAGCTAACCCTCTTGCTATCAACAGGACTCACCACGCCCCCCTCCCTCCCCCCTCTCCCCTCCTGCTCAACCTCCTTCTTAATCCTCACATACGCCAGCTTCTCAAACCGGCTCAGGCTCCTCCACCAATGCTGGCCCGCCTCATGCTCAGCAATCCTATCCAGCAACTCGGCCGTCTTGACCCTCACGTCCCTATCCTTGTGGAACAGTCCCAAGGCAATATAAAACAGCCCCGCGTGAGACTCCGGCGCAACACTCAGCAGCAAACAAATCTCATCATAAGACCAGACATAGTTGTAAAACGCCTCAAAAATCTCCTTGCTCTGCTGGGGAGTCAGCTTCTGCGTCCGCAACCGGTCGTGCATGTGTGCCAAATCCAAACCCTTGAGCGGGCGGACCGTGTATGACTGAGCGACGTCCTAATTGTCTCCCGCGTTAGCAACCCCATTCTCCCTTTCCAATGAAAAGAAGCGTTAGACAAACCTGGATAAACGAATAGTAACTCCTAGTATTCCGCCACCCCTCAATCCTCGTCACATTCCCCGCCAGCTCTTTTGCTTTAGTCGCCTCATCGGCCCATACGTACCCATGCCCCATCGCCGCCTGCCCCAGGTTCCCATCACCCCCACCTCCACCACCATCCCCATCCCCATCACTCCCGATATAAAGCGCACTAGCCCCGAAAACCGTCTCCTCAAACGCCGCCGCGATCCTCGTAAACTTGAGCACCCACTCCCTCCACTTAGCCCTCACCACCCTCTCCCCCGACCGGTTGGCAATACACCTCAGTATATCCGCCATGAACGCCGCATCCCCCGTCAAATCCCCCGTCTGCTGCCCCGCCGCAGCCGCGCTCCCCGACCCGGCCGACGCCCCGTTGATGAAGTTCGCGTACGCCGGGTTCTGCTGCTGAAAGTACACCAACCCCTCCGTGATGGGCGCCGACTCAATCTTGGACGAGATCTTCATCTTGCCCGAGGGAATGTCGCACAGCAAATCCCACCACTCCGGGTGGTGCTCAAACGTGGGGTTCGTCACCCCGGCGATGAACCCGGGCACGTTGAGCAGGTCGTCAATCTTGGTCAGGTCCGTGTAGGGAAACGCGTGCCGGGTGAAGCCCCTGAGCAACCCCCCTGATACCAACGCGCAGGCGGCCAGGACGGCCTCGGCTACTTCGCCCGAGGGCATGTTGTGGCCGAGGAAGATGACTCTCTTTTGTGTCAGCAGAGCATTGGCCAGGACGATGATCGGGTGGGTTGTCGGGCCGTTGGTGGTTAGGTGAGGATGAAGGGCAAAGGTTTGGGGGGATTTGGCGTGGGAGTCCGAAAAGTTTTGGATTAGTTTGATCAGGGAGAAGTCACCGACCGTCTCGGGCATGACGGCGACGGGGACTTTGATCGGGATGGGGATGCCTTTGTACATGACTTTGCTTTCGAATTCGTGAGTGTCCCGCGGCACGGCGTAGGCGCCCGTGTGAGTTTCAATGTAGGATTTCGTGCCTGAGCGGAAGATACCTGGTCGTCTTGGGGGGCTGCGGCTGGCGTCAAAGGGCTGGTCTGCCACGTCTTCTGCTGTTTCTTCCGAGATGCGGGCTTGGATCATGCGCTCAAACTTTTCGACGAATAGGTCCTTGTTATCGCTGGCTTGGAGCAGGTGTCTTTCCAGCAGGCTGAGCTTTGGCATGAGGGAAAGGTCCATTTCGTTGACGGCGTTGAACAACATGGATAGTGTTTCTGGTACTGGTGATTTGAAGTACTCTTCTAGAGCGAGTAGTAATAGGGGCTGTGGAGTGAAATGTAAGTATGTACGCCGTGAGAATTCACCTGGTCAGATCTCACCTTGTATATGTGAAGAAATGGATGCCGCGTGCAAATAGCCATAGCCTTGACCACGGCACCTCTCTTGACCGTTTTGTCCTGCTTGGTATTGACCAAGTTCAACACATAGACCAACGGCGGTCCCTCGCCGCCTTCTGGCTCCTCATCGGTTGACACATCATCATCCCAGTCGTCGTCGTCATCGTCCAGGTCCTCCTCACCACCGTCGTCCTCATCATCCGATTCATGTATTATCCCCTTTGCCCGGTCCCGTCTGCGCCGTCTCCGGGCTCGCCTACTTTCTTTGGCCTGCCGTTCAGCATCGTCCTCTTCCTGGCTGCTATCTTTGTGAAGAAAGAAAACTGTCCAATCCTGATTTCTGACGTGAGCCTGATCCGGAAGCATCAGTTCCGCAAGCATATGTTCATCTCCAGTGATAGCGACAGGATACTGGTGCTCCATGATCGGCCCCCTATCGATATCGAACGAAGCGACCAGGATGTACTCGACGTGGCTCTCGGTGCTACTCCTTGGGTATTGAGAGCGCGGCTTGCGCGCCCGGCGCAAAGACGGGTCATGGCGTACTTTTGGAAGGGGCACCGAGAGAGAGCTGTGCTGCGACGAGGGGTTGGTGCCGGTTGAAACGATCTTGTCCTTGACATTTGGGTCGGATAGGCGGTCCATGTCGGCGGGATTGAAACCATGGGGTAGCGGGGAGCGAGCGGGGCGCGGGGGAGGTTGAGACATGTCGGCGGCGAACTTGGACGTCGGGACGGACGAAGATGATCGGCGGTGGGAGTCGCTGGGGGGGGCCTCTACAAACGCGGATATGCTGCTTGTTCTCGGGGCATAGGGCAACGGTTGTTCGGCCGATGCCATTTCTCGAGTGTTGGGTTTTTGTTTGCCGCCCCCTTATTCCCACGAAATCCTTTCAAGTATCCTATCCTGGGTGCGGGTGGTACACACTGCTTTGCGACCCGATCCAAGCTATCGGTTTGTGGAGTGGTGTCAATTGATCCGAGAACTCGATCACATCGAATTGGCGCCTGTACCCCGTTGTATGTTGGTAGCTGAGCACAGATCGACACCGGGTGCCCCGCGGTTGTGGTCGTGGATCTGTACCTATTATTGTTTCTATTAAAGGTCGGCGCCGGGCCTGTGCTATCGTGTTGTCTTACAACAACAAGAGGAGGATTCTGAGTCGGGGAGGATCCTAATGGTACGGAGTAGCGTTGCTGGATAACGGATAAGGTATGGTATCGGGCGGTGGAAACGGTGACCGTGACTTGGCTCCGGTCTCCGACTTTCCCTCGACGGCTTGGATCTTGGCTCCCGGGGTTAATGCGGCTGCCCGCGTGTCTACCGCTGTGCAATGCAAAGGCAGACTGCCGAAACCTGCATTTGCGTGTATGTCTACCTTTTCTTGAGATGTCTTCCTCTCTCCAGCTTACCTACCTCCTGACAGGGGTCTGTTATCGATATCGACGCAGAGACCGGCTGAAAGGTGAGGGGTCCCCCTTTCCCCCCTGTACATCCCATGCGTCTTTGGGGGCCTTGAAACACGATGCCCGCGCGGCAAGCAGAAACAGGTCACTGGAAAATGGCCCCGCACCATCTTTTCCAGGGTCCCTGTCACTGCTCTTCCAGAAACGCTCGGGCCATGTAACACTGTTGGTGGTTGTCTGGTCACTTTGTTTACTTTTTGTTGTCCCCGCCATCGAACTTTCATCCAAGGCTAGACCGTTGATCTCCAGTGACGACATCAATCACCCACTCAGAGCCAGACAAGCGACCGGGGGATATTCTGGATTTCAAGGCGCCGAAACTGAGTTGTTCTGGCCGTTATTGTTGTTCAAATTAGTGATCCAGACAAAGGCCATTGGCGCGTCTTGTTGCTCCGTTGGCAATTGCTGACCGCATCCCTCAAAAAACAACAAACCAAGAGGTGGTTATTCCCCTTGCGTTTTTGACCGCTAATAAGTCGATACAGATCTCTGCAAGATCACGATGGTAGGAGACGATTGTGGGGACAAGGACAGGATCTGAATCCACTGACATCAGGACACAGGCCATGCCATTCAAACCATCCCCGCTGGGCTATGGGTCGCCCCGGACTTCACCTTTCCGTCGCCCAGTGTCGCCAGGATCTCCCAACACACTACGTCAGACCACACCCACCGCATCGCCAACAAAGACAGCAGGTCCCCCGAGTCCAGTGCTAGACTTCAAATCCTCACGAACCTCTCCGGGTCGCGAACTGCCAACTCCACAAGCTCGCCTTTCTCCCAGACCTGTAGCATCCAAGACCGGGCCAGTAGGTCACGGGAGCGCCATGTCTCAATTACAGCCGTCGCAAGTCAGAACGTTGCGAGAGGGATTCCAGATTCTGGATAGAGACAGCGATGGTGTTGTGAATAGGGAGGATGTCGTGGATATGTTGAACCAATTGGGTGAGAGGCGGCGTTGTATTGGTCCAATTGGCACAGTCATCTAACAATGGTGTAAGGTCTTCCATCAAACGCGTCAGAGGTCACCCAATTCTTCCCTCCCTCGGTGCCACAAACAATGACGATGGCTTTGTTCATGAACTCGATAGCAGGGTCTCTGGCGGCTCTGTCGCCCAGCGCCGAGCTCCTATCGGCCTTCTCGGCATTTGACGACGACGATAGCGGGCAGATTGACGTGGCCGAGCTTCGGGACGCGCTGCTCAACACGGCGCCCGAGCCGGGCCAGCAGCCGTTGACATCGCTAGACGTCGAAAAGGTAATCAACGGTTTCACCAGCCGTCGAGCCTTCACCAAGAGCAAGACGGGTGGCGGGCTGGGCAAGCGGGGGGAAGTATTCCGGTACCAGGATTTTGTAAACTCGGTGGTTGGAAACAACACGGGCAGCGAACGGGCGTCGGAAGATTCAGAGGAGGCGTAATGTGTGTCGAGGTGGTGGTGCCAGAGGACGAATGGTGGCCAACCAGTGATTGCAGGCGCAGGGGCGTTTGTGGGGTCCAGTTATCATGGTCAACAGGAACGGCGAGGACATTGGTAACGATAACGGCATGCGTAGGATACCACGGATACGTAGTGTACCGTGTTCGGTACTTAGCTAGGTAATACTCGGTAGTGTGTAGTTTTGGCGCTTCTGGAGGGCGGGGAATTTGCTGTTCATTGTCCAATTAAACAAACGTCACATTTGGACTGCTACACTGCCAAATTGTCACCCTCTGCCAAAAAAAATGTTGTGTGTGTGGTTGTGCTGGGTGGCTGTCACAAATTGCTCCCCAGACGGTTCGCCAAAAGGCGCGGGAAGCGCTTGCGGATGATCCCTCCAATCTGGCCGGGTTGGACGAGCATATTTATTTCTGACTGTAGCACTATATATCGAGAAGTACCGAGAGGGGAGGGGAGGGGAAAGAAAGAAAGAAAGAAAGAAGGGAAGTGGCTGATGATACCTACTGATGGATATCTTGATATCGAGAGATGAAGATATGGACGTCAGCCTTGCAACTGACCGCTCATTACAGCGAAAAGCCGCCGACTGCGGACGGGCCGACCCACAGAAGCTTCGAGAACTAGTGTGTCAACCCCCCCTATTACGGTTGTGATTTGTATTTTATATTCCTCAAACGGGGCACCAGCCTTGGACATTTGGTGTCTTTCACCAGGAGATCGCTGGGGGGTGCTTGACAAATGGCATCACTGCTCCAGTTACTGGTCTCGCTGGTGTCCCAAATTTCCAGAGCAACGCTCGCTTTTGCCCCCAGCCAGCCAGCTTGATGCCTGGCTCTGCCTGTGGCTCTTCGAATTGGAAGAGACCCGAACGGGGCACAGGAGAGGGCTCCATCGTCCATGTGTCCATGATTTGCTTGATTTGCTTGGACGGCTGAGAAAATCATCTAAACCCTTTCAATCAATCCACCAGGAGTTGGAAGAGACCATTTGGCTCTGACTCCTTGACTCCTTGACTCCTTGACTCCATCCCCGACCTCTTGACTTTTCCACTTTCTTCTGTATTCTCCTGGTTCCCACGTTTTCCACCAGCTACCAGAAGAACTTCACTGTACGGCTGCTCCCACACTCCCGCTTCGCCCACACTTCAACCCCCCCCCCCGCGCCCTTCCGCCCACCGCCGCAACTGCACCGCACAGCCCTTGAGCCGACCTGCCAAAAAAAAAAAAAAGGTGTACCTGGACGCCCGGTACCTGCCGCCAGCCTATTCACCTATTTTTGCCTTGATGCCGCTGCATTGATACAAAGGGTGCAGCTTGCCAAAAGTCACCGGCATCTTTTTTGTTGCTGTCTTTTGTGACTGGGTCCAACGGCAGAATTACTGTATAACAATCAGGGCCTTGGGTGAGACGGTTTTTAGTGTTAAGCCACTGCGGAACCCACTGCAAATGAAGTTTTTCTCCAAAATCTCGAAGAAGCCCAACTCCCCGGACGAGGAGGAACCGTACGCTTACGAGGATCTTCCTCCAAACTACGAAACCGTCATCCAAGAGTCCCAACAGCAGCAGCAGCAGCAGCAGCAGCAACAGCAGCACCCTCCCTCGCCCACAAAGGCGCCCACTCCCAAAACATCCTCATCCCGGTCCCCGACCAAAAAGTCACACCGGTCGACGTCGCCGCCCACGCGCGAGTCAAAGCCGCCTTCTTCATCTTCTTCATCCTCGAGACCCTCCCGCTCTTCTGCCCGGCACGCAACCGACCCCATCTCTTCGTCGTCCTTCCGCCGCAAGAAGATCGACCCCGAAGAGCATCCCCTCAACCTGCCTCCCGAGGTGCGCAACAAGCGTTTTTCCGAGCTGTCTGGCCTGACCGAAAGAAAATCAATGGACGTCGAAAAGGACCCCGTGAATGGCGGCGCCGCTGCGGCTGCCTCTGGCCAGCAGAAGCCCACCGCTCCTCCTCACACCAACTCTTTCACGGTGCCTTTGAGCAACGGTACAGACGCCTCAACAAACGGTGCTGCCACTCCGGCTGACGAGGCCGTCCCCGCTCCCCCGCCTCACCGATCGTCGCCTTCCAGCCCCGTGCAATCAGAGGCTGAGCAGGCAGAGTCTTTCAAGAACGATGGCAACAAGTTTTTCAAGGCCGGCGATTACAAGCATGCTATTGAGTTCTATACCAAAGGTGGGTCACCAACAAACACTGAAACGCAATTTTTTCGGTCGAGATGCGGGTGTGACTAATGCTTTTTTTTTTTTTCCCCTGTGTAGCTGTCGTTCTTCAGCCAAACTCGGCGACCTACCTGGGCAACCGGGCTGCTGCTTTTATGTCTGCGTGCAGATGGACTGAGGCTTTGCAAGACTGCAAGAAGGCCGTTGAGTTGGACCCTCACAACATCAAGATTTTGTTGCGCTTGGCTCGTATTTACACCAGCACCGGCCAGCCAGAGGAGGCTATCGCTACCTTCAGCCGGATCCAGCCAGCACCATCAGCCAAGGACACGGCCCCGGCCAAGGAGATGCTCCGTCATATCAGAGCTGCTCAATCAGCGCTCAGGGATGGCACCGCCGCCTCTATGGTTTTGCACCCTCTGGACATGGCCGAAAAGTTGCTTGGTATGGGCGCTCTGAAGCCAAGAAAGTGGCAACTGATGCGCGGTGAGGCCCTTCTCAAGATGGCGGACGTCAACTCTCTCGGTGAGGCCCAGAACATCGCCATGTCCCTGCTCCGCAACAACAGCCGGGATCCTGAGGCTCTTGTTCTGCGTGGACGTGCTTTGTATGCCACTGGCGAGAACGACAAGGCTGTCCAGCATTTCCGGCAGGCGCTTAACTGCGACCCCGACTTCAGGGACGCTATCAAGTGGCTCCGTGTGGTCCAGAAACTCGACAGGATGAAGGAGGAGGGTAACAGCGAGTACAAGGCCGGCAGGTGGCAGTCTGCTTTCGATCTCTACACCAAGGCTTTGGAGGTTGACCCCGCCAACAAGGGCACCAACTCCAAGCTGTACCAAAACCGGGCGTTGTGCCGTATCAAGCTCAAGCAGTACGATGAGGCCATTGCCGACTGTGAGAAGGCTGTCAGCCTCGACCCTTCGTATCTGAAGGCTCGCAAGACCAAGGCCAACGCTTTGGGGCTGGCCGAGAAGTGGGAGGCGGCTGTCCGGGAATGGAAGGCGATCCACGAGCTCGATCCCGAGGACAGAACAGTTGCCAAGGAGGTTAGGAGAGCCGAGCTGGAGCTCAAGAAGTCGCTGCGCAAGGATTACTACAAGATTTTGGGGATTGAGAAGACGGCAACCGAACAAGAGATCAAGAAGGCGTACCGCAAGCTCGCCATTGTTCACCATCCTGACAAGAACCCTGGAGATGCGCAAGCCGAGGCTCGCTTCAAGGACATCAGCGAGGCTTACGAGAACCTGAGTGATCCTCAGTAAGTTTTATCCCGGGATTTGACAACCAAGCTTGTTTGCTAACAGCATGATAGGAAGCGTGAGCGTTATGACAGCGGCGTTGACCTGCAAGATCCGGCTGACATGTTCGGCGGTGGCGGCGGCATGCACGGCGGCATTGACCCCGAGATTCTCTTCTCCATGATGGGCGGTGGTGGTCCCTTTGGAGGCGGCGGCGGTGGTGGCTTCCCAGGTGGTGGCTTCGCTTTCAACGGCGGTGGCGGTCAACCTCGCGGAGGCAGAGGTGGATTCCCGCACCACTTTCAGTACTCTTGACAACCCGACGAGCGAGACGCTGCCGACACCGGGAGCGAAGATGATGGTGACGAGAAACAAGACAGCAGACATACGAATGAAGCAGAGGCGAGCGGCGTCAAGGCGGCGTGGAGGGCCGAGGCCGACGACGAACAGGATAGGTGGATTGAAAAGCTGCGCCAGATTGGGCTCTTTGGAATGGCTGCTGTTGTGCTTCTCCCCCCGGAGCTCTTGCCTGTGCTCCTGATCACGGCTGGAGTGTTGTACATGTGTACGATTATGGTCAGGCGATACATGGAAGCACAGTGAGGAGCCGGGGGACTAGACAGGTGAAATGGATACGGGGTGCTGCTGTTCTCGCCATCGGTTAAAAGATTGGGTCTAATAGTTTTCTTTTTCTCGTCGTTTTTCTCGGGGGTGGGGAGGGGGGCATAGACTACCGGTCTGTTTCATATACTATCACAACAACATCATCATCATCATCATCATCATCATCATCATCATCATCATTGGAGGAAGGCGTTCCCGATGGCATTTTATCATGAGTTTTTCCTTTTTGACGGTTTCCTCTCATGGCGTGTGAACTCTTTGCTCTCGATACCTCGTTTCAGCATAGTACTGCAGATAGATAGGGTAGACAGGGCAGCTTGTATGCTTGTGATCTTGGCTATGATGATGAAGCAGATCAGCGTTTATTGAGTTTATGTTGAAGTTCAACTTGTGCGACAGCGTAGTGTACTGGTACTGGCTCTAAAATGGCTCGAATAGGAAAGGAATATGAATATAATAATCATTATAATTATACACCTGACGGTCACGTTGCAGCCACCGATGGCCACCGAGCCAAGAGGCGGCAAAGTGGGCGGGCAGTTGGCGGGGCTGATGCCAAGGGGGCAGCCAGGGAGCTTGGACCCCCTGCTCTGGATTTCGAGGCCACGATTCACTTCCGGGCAGGCGCTGCCGCTGGCCGCGAAAAAAGTGTCCAGACAAGCAGCACCTTGTGAGAAGCCGCCACATTGCATCCAGCACCCGCCCGAACTCTTCAGGTTGTGTGGACTTTGACTTCCAACCTTTGTCAATCTGTCCCCTTGGTGTAGTAGCAATATAGGATTTGGATCATAGTTTGTCTTTTCTTCCCCCCAATTGCCCACACCACGCTCGCCTTCGGAGGACACCTACCTTGTTGGCAGCTTGATACTTCACGACCCTCCCGAGAAAACAACAGCAACCAGACTGTGACACCCAGCTTAACCTAGTCGTGCCCACTCGGCAGAACCGCCGACATGAGCACCGACTACGCCTACGACGAGGAGGGTTACCTCTGGCCCTTCTTCGTCTTTACACTGACGCTCATCATCACCCTCCCACTTACATACATCCTCGTCAAGAGGTCGCGAGACCCCGCCGCCTCGTTCCCGCGCATTCGGACAAGCTTCAAACATAAACACACCGACGTTGTCGACTCATTACGCAAGAAGGAGAAGCGCAAGGACCGCAAGCTATGGCTCATCATCGCCGTGGCCGTCGGCTGGGTTGTCATGGGCTACATGCTCGTCCTCATCCAGAACACCGAGACGCCAACGCAGAAGCTATGGAACCCATATGACATTCTCGGCATCTCCGAGTCGGCCACCGAGAAGCAGATCAAGAGCGCCTACAGGAAGCTGTCCCTCAAGTTCCACCCCGACAAGATCAAGCCTGATGCTTCCAAGAACGAGACCATGGACGATCTCAATGCCCGCTACGTCGAAATCACCAAGGCCCACCAGGCCTTGACCGACGAGGAGGTGCGCAACAACTATATCCAGTATGGTAACCCTGATGGCAAGCAGGGTTATAGCATCAACATTGCTTTGCCAAAGGCCATTGTGTCTGACGGCAATGGCAAGTATGTTGTGCTTCTGTACTCTGCGCTCTTTGGTATTCTGTTGCCATACCTGGTTGGGTCATGGTGGTACGGGACGCTTAGACGGTCCAAGGAGGGCGTTCTCATGGAGAGCGCCAACCGGCTGTTCAGGGAGTACAAGGACAACATCGACGAGGGCGGCGTCATTGGCGCCCTCAGCACGGGTCAGGAATACGACGAGCTGTTCAGGGGCGACAAGGCCGATTCTGGCTTGTCCAAGGTTGAGTCCAGAATTCTTGCCGAGGGCGAGCTCTCTCCTCTCGCTGGCGGTCTTTCTGTCAAGGACAAGGAGAAGTTGGAGGATCTCGAAAGTGGCCCCCAACGCAAGGCCTTGGCTCTTCTCTGGGCCTACCTCGGACGCGTCGAGCTTGACGACCCCATCTTGGAGAAGGCTAAGTTCGCCGTCGCCCCAATTGCCGAAGCTCTCAACAAGTCTTTTACCGCCATCTCTCTTGCCTACATGAACACGGCTCCTCTCCTGTCTTCATACTACGCCAGCCAGCTCCTCATTCAGGCTCTCCCACCAAAATCTTCGCCCCTTCTCCAGCTTCCTCACTTTACTCCAGCGACTGTCAAGGCTGTCGATGGCGACTCCAAGGTTCACACCAACGTGCAGGACTTTATGGACAGGCCGGACGCTAAGCGCCGCAGCCTGGTTGTCGGCAAGGGTCTTCTCACTGATGAGCAATACCGCGAAGCCGTCTCTGTTGCTAAGCAGCTACCCTTCTTCCGCGTCGCCAAGGCATACTTCAAGGTTACTGGTGAAAAGTTTATTCTCCCCTCTTCTCTCGTCACACTCGTCGTCAAGGGCCGCTTCGTGCCACCAGGCAGCGAAAACGTGCCCGAGATTGAGCCATTGGATCTCGAGGATATCGACCCAGCCGAAGACGACCTTGACGCCATCCTCGGCCGCAAGGCCAAGAAGCAGATTGGCAAGGACGAGAAGGGCAGACCCATTTACGAGGAGACCCCTGACGAGCCCATCTCTGCGCCATTGGCCGCGTCCCCATACTTTGCGCGCGACCATTCTCCAAGGTGGCACGTTTTCCTCACAGACTCGAAGCAAGGCCGTGTGGCGGTGCCACCATTTACCTTTGCGCA